CCCCCCCCCCCCCTACCAGATCATGCTGGATCCATCCCTGTTTTGCCAGATAGCAGATGGTAGGGACCAGTCAGGGGAAAATGATAATCACATTCCAGTGATTATCCAGATACTGGATACTAATGGTGATACTTTGACAATACTTAATTAATTTTTCCAGTAATTTATTATGTGCTTTCTTTCTTTATAAATAATAAGCATAAATATCTAGTGGCGCAAACATTGGTGGGCAATGTACAACAGAGATCAATTTACATCCCAAAAACACTTAAATAAAACTGCATGTCCAGTAATTGTTCCTATTACACAATTTCTTAATGCACAAAAAGCATAATTTTCTTAATAACAAAACATCCCTAAAATCTTTAAAGTTGGAAAAAATCAGTATCTTGAAAAAATTGGAAATCCTGAAAATCTTGTGCACTTTTCTCATTATCTAAGGGAAAGGTGGCGTTAATGGGTTGTCTTGCTTGTATAGGTTGCTGAACATTGGAATGGGCATTTTGAAGAAGCTTATAGAATGTCTGAAGATGTCAGTTACCGAACGGACGTAGCCAATGAGTTTATTCAGTCTTTACAAGTAGGTCCTGTACTATATGTGACAGAATTACTTGACAGAAAGTTCTCTAGTAAATTTTGAAATAATCTGTTACAATCAGACATTTGTGTTTTCCAGACTGATGTTGTCATTGGCCCTGCTGCCCTTAAGAAATATAGAGAATTTAAGTTAACATTGCTTGGCCAAGAACATGCTGTAAAAAGGAAACACGAAAAATCTGCAGAACAACGTCCTGCAAAAGCATTGAAAACTTCTCCAGGTACGTGCACATCACTAAAGCCTGCCGAACATGAGAGAAAGTGGTTGAGATAACCGCCTAGCGTAGCGGCTAGCTCGGCATGTTTCTGTCATGTACAGCAGGCTTAAAACATGTCCTGTTATACATGTATGATAAACATACTTTCTGCCGTACATCAGTTATGAAATAACGTGCATATGATTCTGCATTATACAGCTGAAGTGGAAGAGACTATATTTCAATCACAGAACTACAAGCCTCAATTCAAATCAAAGGTAAAGTAATTGTGCCTTGCTAGTTATTCACTTTGCATTAAAATGGCCTTTGCACTTAGGCACAATACAAAACTCCAGATTTTCTGTCCGTTTTTCCAGTTTTGTAAATGCAATATGTTTGTGTGATTTATTTTAGAGGGTCGGTGTGAATTATGCTCAATCAGAGTTTGTGCTGTCTCAACTGCTACAAACTCACTCGCTAAATAACGACCCAAGTGACAGACGCACACAAGTTTGGGCTTGTGAATTTCAACCAGACCCTTTGAATCCAGGTCAGTTGCACGAGTCATAGTTCTGTTGACCTTTTTTTTTTAACATAATGTCAGAACCATAGATATCTTATATACACTAGATAGTGCATCTAATTATTCTGAAATTCAAAAATTGAAGCCGTGATTGCAGTCTCAGGTCGTTCCCATGAAATTAGAAGATTCCTATGTTTTCTATTTCTTAAACAGGGAACTTAAACATTAAGTTAACCCTATTCCAAATTCGTTTTTAAAATATTCAAATGAAGAAAATTATTGTTGTTTTTAAGCGTTTATTAGCAAGTGGGAACGACCAACATGGCCGCCATCTATTCAAATGGGGGTGGAATATTGTTGGCTTCAATTTTACTAAAAGACATGCGCTATCTAGTGTATATAAGATATCTATGGTCAGAACTGAAAGGGTCAAAGTTTAGTCTTCCAAAACATTGTCCAGATATTGTGGGCAAAAGTACAATACACAGTAAAGTCTATTGGTGAACGTTTTGTAAAATCCTTCTTTAGACAAAACGACGACTCTTTGTGCAACATGTGGTGGTGATGCAGTGTGCTTTATTGAGTGTAAAACAGGAGAAGTTTCAAAAAAATACAAGCAACCAGGAGACGTATTCTACTGTCTAGCATGGACTGTATTTCATGTAAAAACCGCTTCTGGTGTTGAATATAGAACTGCTCTGGCTGTTGGTGGCAAGCAATGTGATATTAGGATTATACAACCAGAGGATCTGGTTTGTTATGATAGCGTAGAAGCACATGAAGGCTCCATTGAGAGCCTGCATTTTCATCCTACAGAACCAACATGGCTGTTTAGTAAGTATTCTTCTCTCAAGAGGTCTAGTGTAGGTATAAGTAAAGAATCACCAATATTTTCTCACTCTGAAAAGTACCAGACAGTTTAAATTACCCTAGAATTTCTCTTTTCGAATTTCGCCTCTGAGAAGGCGACAGCCGAGTGTTTCATATCCGATAAAGCATGGACTATGAGTGTTTTTAATGGCTTAAAAAATTACCCATCTTATGAGTTAATTGGCGAAGTAATTTGAAAAATCAACAAGACAACATTGTCTAAGCCAAGAAAATTTAAGCCAAAATTTATGCAAATCAACATGATTTTTTTGTAGTTTTTTTTCTTTTATTAATGCGTTTTTTAAGAGGAATTAACAAATTACTCACCAACATTTACATCTTGATATTTACAAGACATTTACTTGTGTAGGTGCTGGCGATGATAATCAAATAGTCCTGAGTGAACTGGGCCTGTCTACAGCAGCGAAAACCAATCCTAAAGCAACGTATGTATCATTGGAAACTACAGATATAGCACCTCCGTTATATAGCTGACACAACTACATGAAACTCTTTACTTTTTAACATTTGGCATTTCGTAGTAGCTAACAATAAAGTACGCGATTATGATTGACTAACTTTCACAATAACTAAAATTAACTATAATTCATGATAGTTGGCTGAGTATCTCAAATGGACATCTCAATTCTTTGTTTGCAATGACGTAATTTGGGGATTTCAGTTGACGGGCAGGTGTAACAAAAACGGCTATTTTAATGTATTGATCAAGTTTAGAGAGAGGTTAAGACTCAAAAGATGAATTACTGTTCAGTTTTTCTTGCTATAACCATTCTAGAAGATAGGAGAAAAATTGTCCACAAGTTGTTTGATGAAAAGGCATGTGATTGCAAACAAAGAATACAGGCTAGTAGCTGAGGGTTAGAGCGCTGCGTTGCTAAACCTTGCGTTCAATTTCTAATTTACTTAAGACATAAACAAGATTTATTCCTTATTTGTGTTTCAGGATATTAATGAAATTAAGGACACAAGGCATTCTACGGTCACTCACCGTGCCACGCCATGGTGAAGTGTTAGTCGGGGGAGGAGACAAAGGCTGTACTGTGTGGTCTATTATCGCTTGTGCTAATAAGAAAAGGTACAATAAAGATACCATATTGTAGAATACCACCCACACTGGACAGCCACGTTTGAGATGTTTATTATGTTCTCATTTAGTCATCTTCCACTGTACGAACTAAATTTCCCAGGGAAGAAAAAGGTTCCTTTGGACTGCGTGAAATGTTTGAGTGATCATGTCATAGGTATGTCTATAAGTTTTATATCATAGAAATATATATATATTTAAGTCCTGGTCAAACGAGAATGAGAGTTGAGAAGCGAGAGTTTGCATAAGAGTTCTCTCAACTCTCATGTCCTGGTCAAACGAGAACAAGAGTTGCATGAGAGTTGAGAAGCGAGAGTTTCAATGAAAGTTTTCTCAACTCTCATGTCCCGGTCAAACGAGAACAAGAGTTGACGAGAGTTGAGAAGTGAGAGTTTGCATGAGAGTTTTCTCAACTCTCATGTCCCGGTCAAACGAGAACAAGAGTTGCATGAGAGTTGAAGAGAGTTGAGAAGCGAGAGTTTGCGTGAGAGTTTTCTCAACTCTCATGTCGCTGTCAAACGAGAACAAAGAGTTGCATGAGAGTTGATGAGAGTTGACTGGATATTACCGCGCGCGTATAGCGAAAACTCTCATCAAGATTTGAACCAGTTTAAAGTCAGTAAGCATCAATGAGAGTTGGCGATCAAACACAGGAATCGAACCTGGGTCTCAGAAATGAAAAACATATGTACTAACCAATGTAAAAACTAATTCTTGCATTTGTTGATATCTTCCATGTTTAGCAACAAAGAGAGTTAAAGAGCCCTGTATAATGTTGTACTATTCCGAATCCAGCTTTCAAAAGGTATTGTCAGTCCCCAACTCTAATCTAATCTTAATCTAACACTAATCTAAGCTTACTGTAATTATGGACGTATCCAGTTCCTATTTATATACAGAGTTAAGTACATGCTTTCATGTAAAAATGTCCTGTAGATGTAAGTACATGCTTTTATTGTTAAACCAAACAAGTTGTAGTTAGATGATGTTATTTTTCTAGAATGACGCGTCACCAGCTTTTCGTCTTCCGTGGAAAGTCACAGATACTCCATTTATCAAATTTAATTTTCGGGCAGGTATATCATGCTTTCTGTTTTGTCGCTGTTGTCGTGGACAAATCATTGACTCTTGATGCAACCTGCTTACAACTTGAGTTGTACTGTGTTAATCAAGCACACAACTCACCTAACCTTGTCGTAAGTGAGTTGTGTCACAGAATAGATAATTACACCAGAAGTCTCACTCAAGCAAATATTTGTCCGCGTTTTTACAAGCGATTCCTCACCAATTCACGCCATCTTGGCTAGTACGGCTGGCACTTTGTACCTACCAAAACCTGATAAAAACGTCCGGTTGTACTAGGCAGGGACGACATGAGCAAGTTAATTTTTTACGAACGAAAACATCAAAGGTTCCGACTCAAGTGAGACTTCTGGTGTAATTATCTATTCTGTGGTTGTGTGCTTGATTTACACGGACTACACAGTACAACACAAGCAGGTTGCATGCGATAATTTTAGGCAAAATTTGTGTACTGTATATCGGCACAGATATCGGCCTTATTATATCGGCCTTATTACATCGGCCTTATTATATCGGCCTTATTACATCGGCCTTATTATATCGGCCTTATTATATCGTCCACGTGACACGGTGACGACAGCAACGACCAAATTGAAACCTCATACAAAATGCCGTGTGATACTTCTCAAAAAGTTTCTTCTGGTAAATTTCAACGATTCTTTTCTTTCATTTACGATAGATTGTGATATATTGATTGCTGGGGATGATTTAGGACGTGTGTGGATATATGATGTAAATAGGTGTTTATGTGAATCCAGGCAAGGCAAGAAACTGGAGGAACTTAAGGAAACACAGGTATATATGTGGATTGCATTGGTTTGAAATGTCACTGCACATTGTTCAGAGAAACTTTGAGATGATGTAAAACCTACCTCAACTACTTGTAAATAATTCTCAGTGAGATTTTTTTCATGTTCAAACAGAAGTTGATTTGTGCCAATGGTACAGTGAAGACGTTCAATCACGTGTGTTCAAGTACAAATATGGATTATGTTGTTGCAGTGGCTGATAGCAATGTCGTTTGTGTTTGGAGAAGATTGAAACCTGCCTAAAGCACGCTATCATATACAGCTTACCTACCCAAATGTACAGTAATCGCCGCGCTAAGACAATATTCCGGTAAGGACTATATTGGTATAAGGACTAAATTCCTTCAAGGACTGGATTTCGAGTATTGAAATAAAATCTTTAGTTATACATATATACATATCCTGGTTTCCATTTGGTCGTAACTTGCGAGCAGGCTTTTTCACCCTAATCCAAACTCACGATCGCCTGCTTTGCAGGCTAATTTTGTCGTGATGGTCATCAGCATGTTAAACCTGGTTTATACTATCAACGTTTCTCTGATTACAGTAGGAATTTTGCATAATTCTAAGTTTTGAAGGATTTGTTAGAAACATTAGTAAAAACTGGTTGATATAGAGCACACAGAAGACATGACCCAGACTACTTCGGCGACCACGAATTCTGCGATTAAATGGGAACCAGGCTTATAAGAGCGTTCGTTTATATTGTTAGGCATAACTTTAATCGCCGCGTTAAGTTATTTTTGTGACGTTGAAGATATGCCACCCATAGCTATTTATAACAATCCAAGTGTTCTGTGTTTTGTTCCCCATGTAATCAAACAACAAAGTGTGATGTAAACCATTTGTTAAAATGTTCTTTTCGACGTTTAAATATTTTGTCTAAGTTTCAATGCTGTTTTGTATCGTAAATTATCATATGACAATCTCCCAAAAGGTGCAGCAATATGACTTCGACTAAACATTCCAAGCAACTTTTATTACTTCAAAAACTTGAAACTTCTTGTCTACAATCCAATCTTAAGGATGGCGGTATAAAACGCGCGAGCCAAGATCCAGGCACTCACCACGTCCCTGGCAGCAGAGACGAAACCTCGCTCTAGCAAAATCTCGCAAAATTCAGCCCAGGCCACTTCCTGCTGCGTACAAATATACGGTACAATCTTAGCACATTGGATTCGATCGTGCAGAGGTGAGACCAATCTTACCGCGTCACGTGGTCGGCACGCACGAACTAATGACGCCATACACTCCTCACGACATAACGGAGACGACAAATACCCATCTCCCACAAGTAGCAAGATCTCCGCATGGCTGAAACTCGGGTACTCTTCGAGGATTCGCACGAAATCGGCTTTCCGAAATTTTGCTACATTCCTGGCGTGATGCACGGCCATGTGCAGTCGACCCTGACGACACAAGCACGACACGACCTTCCCGTGAGCCTTCGTGTGCCTGTATACCGCTTCTGCTAACATGTAACAACCACAGGCGCAGACCTGACCACACCTACAAAATGCTACAATGCTCTCGCCGAGCACATCGGAATATTTCAACTTCTTCTGTGACAACCACATGATGACCAAATCTTGTCTACGCTCTTCCAAAGCGCGGACCACCGCGTCAACAGATTCCGAAGCAGTTAGCCCTTTCTGACCGGGGTTTCCGCTGTTCACTATCACAGCCTCGCAGTAGTACAGCAGCGGTGACTTCTCGCCTGGATGAGCCTTTTCTTCCTTAAAACGTTCAAATGTTTGAGCAGTACGCAGGATATCTTGTGGGGAACTTGCAGCAACAATGGCGGCTTCTTCGTAACAACCGCGTGTGAAAAGTTGTTCAAACTTGTCCATGTATTCAACCATTTCCTCGTGTTCTTGTTCGCCAAAGTTGTCGTCTTCATCGTCTGAGTCCACCAGCTCGTCTGCAGGGGAAATGGAAGTTTTTGCTACGAACAATGATTTACCAAATCAACGAGTACAGCTTAAAAAACATAGTTACCTAAACTTTACTATCCTTGTGGTTTATGTAAACACCACATATTTATTATTGGAAAGCTTGCGATCCGCAAGGCGCTCTTATCAACTCTGTTAACTATAGTAAAAAAAAGAATTGAACATTTAAACATAAACTTTACCTTCTATTCCATCGATAAAGTCATCCTCGCCATGTTTCAGCGCGAGTAAAATCAACTCGACAATCGTCTTTGGTTTTTGCAACATGTCCAAATCTCTTTGCTTCCGTTCTTCCTTAAGTCTACCTTCCAGTTTTAACAACTTCGCTTTCAGCATATCACCTGGGGAAGTACATGTAGTTACATAATAATTCTTTGCTGCTGAGCTACTGAAGTTTGAGGGTAGGGTTGCTTAAGAACATATATATGTAAGTCGAGTTTCATATAAGTATAGGCTCTCCCGTTTTGATGAAAGTTTGGAGAAGCGAGAGTTTCCATGAGAGTTTTATCAACCCTCATGCCCTGGTCAAACGAGAACAAGAGTTGCATGAGAGTTGACTAGATATTATCGCGCGCGTAAGCGAAAACTCTCATCAAGATTTGAACCATGCAGTTCAAAGTCAATGAGAGTCGCTTTAGTTGTGAATTGGGCAACAACATCCTCTGAATTCGACAATTACCAACCTTGTTCCTTGAGATCGTTTCTCGTTTGTTCTTTTACCATAAGTTTCTCTATGAGGTTATCCTTAGTCTTCCTCAGCTTAAAACGCTTGTCAAAAAACTTCACCAATTCCTGAATTTCTTTTCGTAATCGCTGTAACTCTTCGTTTAAAAAGTCTATATTCGTCTGCTCGCTACAAGTGAATCTTTCCAAAACTTTCAAGCGAAATTTCCCGAAACCTTGCTCGTTCTTCGTTGGTGTTTTTCTGTGAAAACTTCGCGCGCGAATTGTAGCGATGGACTTGTTAATTTCGTGTAGTATTAGTTCCGATTTCTGCTTCATTGTCTTAATTTCCAAGTTGGATTTTTGTCTCAAACGCGCGTTCTGATCCAACAACATTCGAAACTTTTTTTCCAAATCTTTTATTTGCTGCTTGTAGTTTTTGATGGTTCCAAATCCTGAGATACAGCTCGTCAGGTTTCGATAAAGAAAGTCTGCGTCCCGCTCGCCTCGAAGGACCGCCCCGATACAATTTTCGTATTCGACTTTTATCTCGGACAACAGCGAACCAAAACAGCCGTTATGCCGGATGATTTCTTCAAAACATTGCGAGAAAATTGCATGCCGTTCCTTTCGTGTTTTCCTCTCGCATTTCTCGTGTTCGTCCAAGCGTTTTCCCAGCTTTTCTGTCAGTTTACAAGCGAAATCGTCGTTGCATTCGGCGTTTATATGCCATCCTAATTCGTCGTCTATGGAATTAAAATTTCCGTTGAAATTCATTTTTGCTTAAAAACTTCAGAATAAGCGTGTTGTTATATGATTTCAAAGCTTTTTTGAAGCTTTTTAAAGATTCATAGCTCGATACTAAAAGAAACAGAACGCTGTACGACTTTTTGGAAGCGTTTTAGAAAAAAATAATTTTGAAATAATTGTTTGCTTGCGTCGATGATCATATATGACGTGAAATGACTAGTTTGAAAAATTTCAACCGTTAGTATGTAGAAATACTACTTATTTTTATTTTACTTAACTTAGGGCGATACTTGAGTTCTTTGGGTCTTTTAAACATTATATCATAGTTAATATATGATTATATTAAAGCTTTTATTACAGAGAATGTTTTTCACTTTTACGGTTGCATAAATTGCGTCTTTCAAACTGTATGCCCGGAGAAAGGCTCCTGGTGGTCACCGGGTTCCGTGGTTCATTTTGGGAATTCTGCCCCCCACTCGACACCAGTCTTCTACTTGAGCGGTTTTCAACATGGCGGATTTTTCGCGATAAATTCGTTTATGAAATAAAATTTCAAATGTGGACATTTCTAACGCGTATTTAGCTATTTCAGCTATTTCTCAGAGTAAAACTGAATACATAGAGTAATATTTGGAAAGATTTTGTGCGAAAAACGATGATGAAACGAGCAAAAAAAGACGAAGATGACGAGCAAACGGAGGGAGAGCCTTCGAGTAAGAAGTCGTTCATGGCCATACCACCTGTCAACGTGGGGCCTGTCTCCACTGAGGTTTGTATATGAAGCTTTCATTTAGCTCTGAATTGTGTAGTTTACAGTATTACAGAAATATAAAGTTACATAGTGTATGATTGTATAAATAAAATTATATAAAGTGGAATTCCTGTCATTGGCTGCTGTGTAGACGTCTACAGTTAATTGCTTGAGGTGTGTTATAAATTTGTGTGTGGGACAACATTTACAAAAGTTTCACAATACCCAAATTGTTAACAGAATACACATATCATCAAAAACATATCACCTCTTGAAAATGTTGCCCAGTTTAGTTTGTATTGTGCAACCGAGATATCGGGTACTCTTGGTGCTTTCTATATATTTACCATTAAATTTTGTAAATCTTGCATTTTGAATTTTTAAGTCAGGAATGTTGCCATGTCACTTTTGAAACTGTCACAATTTAGATGTAATTTGTAACTAATTTCCCTATTCAATGCAATGTCACCTGTCACAATTTACCTTCAAAAACCTCCCTAAATGACACACACATCCTTTGTAATCTGATAAACTTTCACTCTTTGAGTGTATTTGACCAACCCCAGTGATGGTCAGCACTTCTTTCCAGCTATGGTACCAAACTGACCTGACGTCATTTTCGGATGATGAAAGAGGTGTTAAATGGCTATGTAACTAACCCTACCCCTAATTTAACCCCTAACCGCAACCCTAAACAAATTAATACAAAATCCAAAACAAAACAATTTTAGAAATTGTTCAAATGACGTAACGTTAGTTTGATAGATGGAAACAGGTGAAAACTGTTTGTGATTTTGCAGGAGGAAATGGATATCCAAGTTTTAAGATTTCAAAACAAGAAACTTGGTGAGAGATTGGAAGAGATGAAGTTTGAAGAAGAAAATTTGAAAATACAAATTGAAGAATACAAGAAGAGAGAACGTGACAATACTGAGTTGTTGTCTGTTATACATCGAGCTTGGAATCAGGTAATTCTGAGCTTTATATACACCTAATTTGGATGCACAATCAACCTTCTGCTATAACCATGCTGTATTTGTTAGAGACAGACCAGTTCCCCCTTTAAGAGATCAGAATTTTTTTCATTTTGGCTGGTATATTGAACACCAGAACATTTTGGGGCAAATTTCAATGTGTATCAGCAGGATTTTTACTGAATTTGGTATATGAAATATATATGAATATGAAACTGTAGCTATAATAATTATTTTTAGATGGAAGAAGAAACAAGATTGTTAGTGGAGAGATTTGAACAACCTGCCAATAACGAGAATCAGGATTTAGGTAAATGTCAATGGCAGTTTGTTATGGAATATTTTGGAAAAGGTCAAAATGCAGTTATTCATGTTGCTCAGTTTGATGATTGATTTATATTCCAGTCAGCTCAGTTATAGTCCAGTAAAGAACATAGCTCAGTTGATTGATTAATTCATGGTCCAGTTGTGCATATAAAGCTCAGTTAATAGGATTATAGTCCAGTTAATTATAAAGCTCTGTTGATTGATATATTGTGCAGTTAACATATAGAGTTCAGTTGGTTGATTTATAGTCTAGTTGTACATATAGAGATCAGTTGATTGATTTATAGTCCAGTACATATAGACCTCAGTTGATTGATTTATAGTCCAGTTGTGCATATAGAGTGCAATTAATTTATAGTCCAGTTGTACATAGATAGCTCAGTTGATACATAGTTCAGTTTTATGTATATAGCTCAGTTGATTGATTTACAGTCCAGTTGTACATATAGAGTTCAGTTGTTTGATTACAGTCCAGTTGTGCATAAAGAGCTCAATTGATTAATTTATAGTCCAGTTGTACATATAGAGCTCAGTTTATGTATAGTCCAGTTGTATATATAAAGCTCGGTTAGTTGATTGATTTATTGATCGTATTAGTTCTAGATGATATGACAAGTATATCGTTCATCAAACATCTGAAACAAGTGACTCCAGCAGAAAGAGAGGATGAACTGACCAAGAAGATATCTGTGTCAAGAGACATTATTGCCAAGCTTTTAGAACTTGTGAAGAATGCTGATAAAAATACCAAGGATCTAATACAACAACTAAATGAAGGTACCTGGAATACACAGAAAGTACGTCATTTTGGCTATGGAGCCTCGTTTTCATGTATGTGAGATTACATAAAACCAAGCGTTGCAAATGGTCGATCACTTCAATGGCCAAAATGACATACTTTCTTGTAGTGTTGGGACAAACGTCTTGTTAATTTCTCATGTCACAACTTGTCATTGTAAGCTTATTGTATTGCCAATCACTCAATCTATGGTGAATGTTAACATAAGTAAACATTATATAGTTGATCTGTAAATAACATTTAAACTGTGACAAATTTATTATATTATTATTATGTTATTGGGGTTAGTGAAATCAAGATGTAGATATTCTGGGTTTTGATTTTCAATTGTCAATAACTTATGTGCAATTATAGCATGTGTAGGAAAGCCGAAATTTAAATATATATTTCATTTTGTGATTTTTCAAAACAGAAGATTCAGTTGAAGATGTCACGAAGGGGGCAATGAATAGTCTGAAATCCGAAAATGAGAATCTTCAAAAATTAGTCTCTTCACTTCAAGAACAACGCTCAACAAGCTCTCTGGAGGTAATGTGTTGACAATATGAAAAATAAAAGGAAAACATAAAATATAAGGTTAGATGCCTAAACGGAACAGGGACCTAACACTGCAGATAAACTAAATTTTCACCTTACATTTAGTTTGCAGAACTTCGAGACAAGTACGCGATGTCTCAAGACGAACTCTCTGAGAAGAACACGAGTCTACAGGAAGCTGAATACGATCTACAGAAACGCAATCGTAGAGTTGAGAGATTGTTGAAACGTCTTAGCGAGGTAGAGAAACAATGTAAGACCTTGCCAGCTGGTGTGATCTCCGAAAAACCTGTGAAGGGAGAACAACCTTTGAACACAGGAGAGGTAATAGTGGAGAACTTTAAGTCTTGTCTCATGATTGATTCGCGATTGTTGTGACTCAGTCGTGCTCATGGACATGACATCATTTTGACTTTTGTGTGCTGCATGCGAATCAGCCTTCACAAGATATATCGACACTCTATTACGTGTAGACTGCCTCGCAGCCGCTCTTTGTAGAAACCTCGACACAAAGAAAGCAAGAAAACTAAGCTACATCTTTGAATTCTATTTATTGGCCACCAAATATGATACTAGCACATATAATGAAAAGAATTTTAACATTGTTATAAATGTTGGTTGACCACGATCTGTTTTTCTTTGACTCTCAATCTTGACGCTGTTAAAATGCTATCTCACTTATTGTCCACCAAATATGATGCTACTACATTTCATGAAAATAATTAACATTAATACATTCTCACTCCGATAACTACATGTTGACCACTATCTGCTGCACGATAGTGTTTAGTGAAACCGTCTATTTTTTCTTCGACTCTCAATCTTCAGGCTGTTAAAATGCAATCTGACTTCGAAGAACAGAAACTACTTGCAGAACAACGTTTGACTGAGTTGGAAAAGTTAACAGAAAATTATAAAGGATCACTTGAAGAGATTGAAAAACGTAAAATGGAGGTCAGTCACTGTCAGCGTTGGGTACCCAATCTTATGAATAAATTAACTTGTGTTAGTAGTATACTTTTCCCCTCTATGACCAGTGTTTGTTTCCTGCAATATGTCTGAATATTACCCCCTGTTATATTCTGTCAAATACCACACGTTTTCTCCGGTAATAAGGAAGGGCCGTACTTGATCTTGGGGGAACAATGTTGTTTAGTTTATATTGGGCCTCTAGAAAGAACAGTTTGAACTGATAGAGCTATCCAGTGTAAATAAAGTTAGTTTAGTAATTTTAGTTTAGGTTTCCTCCTGTAGTAACACTGGATCAATAAGAGATGAATCTTACTGGACCTCAGGAAGAACAGTTTGAACTGATAGAACTATCCAGCATAAATAAAGTTAGTATAAAGTTTTTATAGTCTTCTTCATTTTAATTAGGCGCTGCAGATTCCAGAATCCGTCGTTCTTCAGTCGGTGCCATATCGAACATTACAGTCTCAATATTCTGTTATCTTTAACGAACTAAATTTGGTATGATATGATTTTCTTCATTTTTTATAAGTGGTGTCCAGATTTTCAGCAAGTGGTAGGTTGTGGCAGGATCTTTTAGACTAAACTTAAGAATTTTCCTCCTAGGCTCGTCAGCAACTTGAAGATATAAGAAGAGTCGCAAACAACAGTAGAACGCAACATATACTTCAGCTTGAGCAATTGGAGGTACCGCTTGGAGCTATTATGTTTTATTTACTGTATATTTTCATAAATTTACGTTGACTTGTTTATTGTTTCACCACAGAACGAAAGTTTGGCAGTTCAGAAGAAATTTCAAACAGAAATCGCTCGCGTGGAAGACGCGTTGATGCAAGTTCGCCGCGATTACGAATTGCTACGAATGAAATACGAACATTATTTGAAAACAAACGAACAGACAGGTTGGTAAAAATATTGTTTCAGATCTGTCGGTACTGCAGGGGCTTGTATATCAGACCAGTGACGTCAGTTTGTTATTCAAACGAGAATGGGAGTTGAGAGTTGAGAAGCAAGAGTTTACCTGAGAGTTTTCTCAACTCTCGACTCTTGTTCTCGTTTGACCGGGGCATGAGAGTTGAGAAAACTCTCATGCAAACTCTCACTTCTCAACTCTCGTGCTACTCTCATGCAACTCTTGTTCTTGTTTGACTGGGGCATAAGAGTTGAGAAAACTCTCATGCAAACTCTCGCTTCTCAACTCTCACGCAACTCTTGTTCCCGTTTGACCGGGACATGAAAGTTGAGAAAACTCTCATGCAACCTCTCACTTCTCAACTCTCATGCAACTCTTGTTCTCGTTTGACCAGCTAGGACTTGATGAGAGTTGAGAAGCGAGAGTTTGCATGAGAGTTTTCTCAACTTTCATGTCCCGGTCAAACGGGAACAAGAGTTGCGTGAGAGTTGAGAAACGAGAGTTTGCATGTGAGTTTTCTCAACTCTCATGCCCCGGTCAAACGAGAACAAGAGTTGATGAGAGTTGACTATATATTACCGCGCGAAAACTCTCAACAACTCTCAGAAAGATTTGAACCAGTTCAAAGTCAATGAGAGTCGATGCTTTAGGCTCAAATCTTAGAAAACTAAGTTATATATTTTTTTGTTTTCAGGTCCCCTGATGAAAGAAATGGATAATATAATTAAAAGTTTACAAGTATGACCTTTTTATTTATTTACACTGGATAGCTCTATCAGTTCTAAACTGTTCCAGTCTTACTGGCCCCGTGTTACTACAGCAGGAAACATAAGCTAACTAACTTTATTTTTACCACCCAGGGAAAACCTCCGGTGTTTGGTAGGGTCTAGCCTACATGGCAGGCGGTATTTCCCAGGCTTGCCCAATTTTAAGAACCGCCTGCCATGCAGGCTAGGTAGGGTCCAACTGGGGGCACTCTTCTCATATAACTGAAGGGCAGCTTTTAATCAAACTACTGCATATTAGAGGACTGATATTATCAGACGTGAAGACACGTGCTATAGCTAGTGTGACATAAAAAATAGGAATCTGTATTCAGTGATTGTCTAACTATACGTTTTGCAATTTTAGAATAGCAATCGACAAATCAAGGGCGAAGTTGTACGTTTTAAAACGAAACTTTCTAAGGAAGAGGAAGAGACGAAGAGGGTACTATACTTAACTAACTTTATTTATACTGGATAGCTCTATCGGTTCTAAACTACACTCCCTAGAGGTCCAGTAAGGATCATCTCTTATTGATCCAGTGTTACTACAGGAGGAAACCTAAACTAAACTAACTTTATTTATACTGGATAGCTCTATCAGTTCCGAACTGTTCTCCCCTAGATCAAGTAAGGATCATCTCTTATTGATCCAGTGTTACTACAGGAGGAAACCTAAACTAAACTAACTTTATTTATACTGGATAGCTCTATCAGTTCTAAACTGTTCTTCCTATAGAGGTCCAGTAAGGATCATCTCTTATTGATCCAGTGTTATTACGAGAGGAAACGGGAGTACCTCGGAGAAAATCTGTAATTTTTTGGTAGAGTCAAGGGTGTTCAATTTATGTTTTGATGTTTTAGCTGCATACTGAATTAGAAAACATAATATCTGGCAAGAAACCAGTGACTGCCACACCAGTGACTCAGGAGGCTTCTGCTGAAGGTACAGCACCCTCCTCCATTGGTGAAGAAACAACGAAAACTGCCCAGAAGGAAAGCCAAGAAGACGGTGAGCTACCGACAGACAGCGAGGAATTGAAAGCTTTGAAATCCGAACTCAAGTAGGTATTTGTTTTGGAACAATGTAATTCTAGACTGAAAAACAAAAACAGAACATTCCAACATTACGAGCAAAGGCAGTTCGTGGGTTTCAATAAGTTTGTTTTTTAGACAATCACAGGAAAGTCAAAAAGAGATGAAGATTATGTTGGATGTTTATAAAGGTGCATCAAAAGACAGTCGAGAACGACTTGAGGTATATGGTATGGTGTGGTATGATATGGTATGGTATGGTGAGGTATGGTATGGTGTGGTATGGTGTGGTGTGGTGTGGTGTGGTATGGTGTGGTATGGTGTGGTGTGGTGTGGTATGGTGTGGTATGGTGTGGTATGGTGTGGTATGGTGTGGTGTGGTGTGGTATGGTATGGTGTGGTATGGTATGGTATGGTGTGGTATGGTATGGTATGGTATGGTATGGTATGGTGGAGTGTGGTATGGTGGAGTGTGGTATGATATAATATAATATGGTGTGATTAAGGTATGATTTGATATGGTGTTGCATGGTATGGTATGGTATGGTATGGTATGGTATGGTATGGTAAGGAACGGTGTTTAATGGAACACACATTTATTCTGTTCAGATTCTTGCAAATGAGAAACGTCTCAAAGTTGAAATCGAGGAACTTCATGGGAAGATAGCGGAAGGCAAACAAGAGGTAGAGAAATGTAAAGCTGCGATGGCGGATGAACTTGCTTTGAAAAGACTGAAAGCAGCCAACGAGACGATTGAGATGTTACAGAGGAAGATCGCCGCAACTAAACAGGTATGATGATCACGGTAAACAGGAATTGATTTACTGGTGGTGCGGGTTAGGGTTAGAATGAGCGCACCTAATGGTCTAATAATGGTAACGGTAGCGGCAGTCATGTCTGTACCTCTCTTCTATCTCTGTTGTCATCTCAGGAAGAAGACGCCCTACTTTCGGAGATGGAGTTCACGGGACAGGCGTTTGAGGAAATGCAGGAACAAAATATTCGCGTTCTACAAGAATTAAGAGAGAAGGAAGAAGCGAATTTAAAATTGATGTCTGAAGTAAGGATGATTATTTTCTAAACTGTTCCCCCTAGAAGTCCAGTAAGGATCATCTCTTATTGATCCAGTGTTACTACAGTCAGTTTGGGAGTCAAACTGGAAGCACTTCTTCACATGAAATTATAATCAGATAATTGCATATTTACGGGAATGGTATACCCTGGTCACAGAGATAAAAGATGCATGCACTCGCGACTACCAACACTCTTTGTCTTTTGCTCATAAATCATGAATGAGTTCAAGAGAATCATTTCTTCACTCCAGCGTATCAAAGGAGATCAGATTCAGAAACAACTAAAAGAAGAGAAAGATGTGATGGCAGACCAGATCACTGCGTTAAACACACACATTGACGCTCAAGAACAAGTTATTAAAAAACTAGAGGAACGCGAGAGGAGTCTTCAGTCAACACTGGTATGTGACTGTGTAGTAGTGATTAGCTAGTAAGATTAACATTTTCATAGCGTAAATTTACATGTTGGTCATGATCAAATGCGCTTTACATCAAGTATTACGCTTACCTAATTACATCCTTTGCCTATACACGCGTAAAAACGCTCGGGTTGATGCAATACTGATGAAAACATGATTGAACAATGCTTTGCTGCCCACATTGTTCATCGTTGTCAACAATATTGAACAATATTGTTACACCCGATACAGGCTCAACAATATTGTTCAATATTGTTGACAAGTGTGAACAACGTGGGCAGCAAAACATTGTTCAATCCTGTCGAGCAACGGGCTCGGCGTTTTTTGCCGTGTACACTATTTTATCTTTACGACAATTGTGATATTTACTTTCTTAAAGTGGGACTAACATCAAATATGATTTTTGGTATGTATAATAATTGGATGATTTTAAGAAGAAATGTAATATATCTTTATAGTAAAAAAGTTTTTCTTAATAGACTTCTTCACTCTCAAAGTTCAGGATATGACGTAATTTGGGGCATTGCAAATTAGTTTTCCCTTGTTTTCGGCACTAACCTGAGTATCGGGCTCTATTTTACAAATAGAGCCTGACACAAAACTTAACCTGATCGCTTTCCACCCACAGCAAAGTTTATATTTAGTATCCAATCAAAATGTCGCAGGAGAAATTTAAATTTGACACAACGACAACAACAATCTAATTATAGCATAGGCAGCCCACTAAACGGCTGAATTTAAATTAAAACTGCAATGAACTTATAAAATTAACAAAAATAATCACAAATTAGCGAATGTAGCTTATATTAAATCGCCACCCGATTGCTCTCTCCTCCGCAGAGGTTTCAGTGACTACGATGAGCTTTACATGGCGCTTACCGTATTTATCAACAAACTGACATATAATTATAAATTATATATATATTAAGTATACTTTATAACTATACGTCAGTTAGTCGATAGTGCAATCTGATGGCGATTTAATATAAGCTACATTTGCAATATATTTCGCTAATTTGCGATTATTTTCTAATTTTACTGCAGTTTTAATTTAAATTCAGCCGTTTAGTGGGATCGTTATAAAATATATCAACAACTGACAATAGTATAATCTAATTAGCACCAGCCAATCAAATGACAGATTTAAAAAATCGTTTGTCTAATCGGCCAATCAGACGAAAAAGCCAGAATCTGGCTTTTTACATGCGCCGCGGTAAAGAATTGTATCAGGCCCTCCTTCATTCGCCGTCGCCAATTAATCCTGGCGAATGAAAACATAAGGGCCTGATACTCAGGTTATTTCGGCACCTAAAATTCCCCGAATGACATCATATCCGGCAGCTTCGAGAGCCGAAAAGTCAATCAAGACGAGTTTTTTACTATAAAGATATATTTCATTTCTTCTTCCAAAAATCATATTTGAGGTTAGTAGCACTCTTAACTGTGTTTATCCTAACCCAATATTTTGTTGGTATCTCTCTCGATTGAATAATTGTTGAAGGATATTGTAGATGGAAATTATCGAGTGGAAATTATATACATTTATTAGACCTAACCCTAAACCCACGATTTTCGGCAGAGTGTTGACTGACTCTTCACACGAGTGGGCAACAAGAGAATCAATGCCCACGATTTGAGGTGAAAGGCGCTTGTTGTCTGTGCCACCGAAGCCCCCAATATCTTCAGTATTTGTTCATCAGAGAAACTCCAATGACACATGTTTCTAACCTTGTTTTAGTTGTCAATTGATAAGGAGCTAGTGTTACGACAGCAAGCTATGGATCTCCACAAGAGAAAGGTACATTGTGAAGAAAGAAAGTGGGACGTTTTTGAGCGAATGCCCTTCGCTACTAACCTTAGTTGTCCTGGCTACTAACTACCTCACGAAACCGGACTCGAAACGTCGAAGTTCTCCTTGTATTTTTCATTTAGTTGTATCCCTATCAATCGGAAGATTTCTTATTATTGCCACTACCTACACTGGCACACACCGTTCAAAATTGTTCTGAGTGTTAACAGCATTCTGATTCACATAGTTGGCATGCCGTGAAATTTTAGTTTTGTGGTAGTTGCCAAATCTTCGACCAAGTAGTTAGACCATGCTGGCACAGCCTGGCGTAAATAACTGGCTTATGAAGGTGTTAGGCATGAATAACTCCCTTGCAGTTAAGATATTTAGCAACACTCCCTTCGTTTCTGGAGCTGGTCTTGTATCCCCAAAATTTGCAATTTCTCTACGGCCGCATTTTGAATCCTGAGATGGCCTCTGAGGAGATAGCGTCGCTCCATGGCTCGTCTACAATCACAATAGTTGCTCGATCTTCATCAACCTTGAGATCATGCTGTAAATTATCTCTGATTCATTGCAGGCAACCGAAAGTGCTCAGATTGCGCAAGATTTTAAAATCCGCATAGAGTCTTTTCAACAGCAGCTACAAGAGGTAACGACTGACGAATAAGGACTTGGGGGTGTTTGGAGGTGTTGGTGGCACCAGGGTTCATGCATGTGCTATTCACGTGGAATTTGATCCCTGCAATATGCAGTTGTCGAATTATAATTTCACCTCAGTTACGTACGAGAAGCAGGGGGTGTCATAATTCAATTTTTTTAGTCGTATCTGACTGGTACGCCAATGGTTGTTGCCGCATACTTGCACAAACTCAGTACTCATTGTGTACTCAGTCATTAAAATAACGTTCATAAAGTACAGGTTTCTTGAAAATACGTTCAGACTACGAGGTAGAAAAAAAAAGCACAATTGCAATATACAAACAATCGACTCCAACGTTTCTTAGTGCCATCAGTGCAATCATGTTTCATGCCAAGACATCTCAGACACATGATATACCAACTAAATTACGGTATTGAATACCTCGGACTTGGAAAGGTCATGTGCTACCAGGAAAATGTAAGTACGCAGATAGCGAGAGTTCCGAGTACCTACGTGGTACGTGGCTGAAAACAAAGAAGTACCAGACCGTAATATTGGCGTAAGTACGCGAATTATCGCACCTTGAATTATCGCACCCTGAATTATCGCACTTTGAATTATCGCACCCTGCGAGAAGAATTCTTCCACTTTGAACCCAGCAAATACCGCATGTTTTCTACTACAATATTCCGGTTTCTTCCTGTAGAAACATTGGGAAATTTAAGGATGGTCCTTGATTTCTAGGAATAACAGTTTAGATAAATTCTGTTTAGGCTGAAAAGTCCTTGAGGACCAAGACAAGATCTTTAGAAGAAGAGATATTCAGAAGCAGACGAATGCAGGTACATCACATTCTTGACTAAAAAATCAAACTTTTATCTATTCAAATGTTTATCACAAATTTGTTTACACGGATTGTTTATGACAAATTTGTAAACTAAGCTTCCACTAAGTCATGTCGAAATATTTTTTTCCCAGGAGGAGATTTCGAGTTTCAAACGAAAACTCGAGAAACAGAAGAAGATGGATATCTATGGCACTGCAGATGAAATACTTCTGGAAGAGATCAAAGAATACAAAGCCCGGCTCACGTGTCCTTGTTGTAACACGCGGCAGAAAGACGCCATTTTGACGAAATGTTATCATATTTTCTGTTTTGAATGTTTAAAGACACGTTACGACACGCGGCAAAGAAAATGCCCAAAATGTAACGCCACTTTCGGGAATAACGATTTCAAGAAAGTTTATTTGTAAAATATGGACGAGGATTAGGTTCAGTTTTAGATTTCTGTGAAAATTATTTTAGATCATACGTGTAATATATGAAAACTTACACAAACTCTCAATTTATTGAGTGCACAGGAAGGAGGGCGGCTGTATACATCTCCTAACCTTGGGGAGTAGGCTTGCCGCCAGCAAGCATTCTTTATCAAATCCATATGTTTTGTTTGAAAGGCAATACACCCTAATTAACGTCGAAGTTCACCTTGTAGTTGCTTCAATCTGACGTTTTCCAGCACACCTTTACCACCACTCAATTCTATTTATGTGTGACCAAAGACATGACAATACACCTTACCGATTATTCTCTTTCACCCAATTGCCTCGTTTTCATGTCAAATACTTACTCGTGTTTTGTGCTTAGTAGGGTTGAAAATTACTTTGTTATTGAGCCTAAGAACAGCAAGAAACAAATTCGTCCAGGAAAACATGAGAATATAATCTTTATCTGCCCCTGACATGCTGAAATAAGTTAACATGGAAACGAGGCCATTGCGTAAAAGAGAATAAGCGATAAGGTCATAATAATGAAAATAATAATTTCCTCCGGAATTAAACCCGCCCATAGGAAGATTTAAATTGCTTCATTTTCCTCCCCATATAGGAAGAGTTGATGCTTCATTTTCGATACCATGAATAGACAAGTAAAACGAGAATTAGATAAAACAGGAAGTAGATTGTGGGTGGCTCAACTTTCGTGTGAAGCTCTGTAATTGTAACATGTTTGGACCCATCCCTCTCATAAAGTTATTAATCCCCGTTGTTGACGGTTTGAAACACAAACTTATTGTTTTTATGACCATGTATGGTGGGTATTCCTTGAATCACATGGTAACCAATATTCGACAGATTTTTTATACTGGATTTGCTCAAAACATTTACGTTTTGTTGAAAACATCGCCTTTATTTATTTCGAAGATCCTGTATTAAAAGGCGAACTTTCTATGCACAAATCTGATGCATGTGTTTACGCAAACGTAAAATATGCAAATGTTTGCGTAATTTATGCAAAGTAGAAAAATAATTGCGCGCACTTCTGAAAATGTGTGCGCGGATTAATTAAGGTGGTTTCTCAGAAATACAGGCTCGCCTGCTATGATTTCGTACTATTTTGTGCGCGTCATTGATGTGTAAAAATCATTTTCTCTCCACGTACATAATTCTGGAGATCGTCAAACTGTGAGCGTCGTGACCTTCCGATATGAACGAGGAAGTGATTAAAGATTGTCGCGTCCGCTCTAATTAGATCCTAAATATACTTCAGTTTTAATTGTTTTGAACTCTCGGAGGAACTGATACTGCCAAGATTGATGAGTAGGCGTTTTAGTCACATGTGCTTAATTGTTGTTGACCTATTGTCTAAATAACAATAGCCTGCCTTATCACACAAAAAACCCAAATAAACCCTTACACAGGCTATATAGTAAATCACTAAATCCCGTATTGATTTCCATGACTATATATATATATATATACAGGAAAGCAAGTTTATTATGTAAACCGTTAAATGTATTGAAGAATGAAATGCTAGCCAGGATTTTTTAGTTGTTTTAAAATCTCTATAATAAACACGTCGAGAGGATGATATCACGTCTCATACCAACCAGTATTTAAGGAGAAATTCAACACGAAATTGAAACAAGTTTGAGAAATATTATGACAAGTGACCAAGTACGGATGAGCCCTTTCCTATTTTTAATAGCCCTGAAATGAATCGGGCAGCTTCGTGCTGTTAAGCCATACCAGTTCTGTACGATCCCCACTTCCCATAAAGCACGAATGCTTAATCGGGAAACGCCCGCGCACGTCTGCGTTTTGTAATTTTCTTCGGCTATAAAATATATGTCAATTAGATTCGAACTTTCATTTAATTTAAACAGCATCGAAGGCGCAAGCGCGTCTCTCATAAAAATGAAGTACCCACTTATCGAGAAAATGTAAGTTTAATTTAACAAACCGTTTTAAAGGATAAAGATAAGAAAAATTGCCTAGATTGAAATTTAGCGCGCAAATCATTTCAAGTGCGCGAACTTATCTTCAAATGCGTCAACTCCAGAGTGCGCATGACACCGAATGGATAACACCGCTGTCGTGATGTACGGCGGGAGAAAAAGGTGGTAATCGGTCAAACCTTCAAAAATTAGTGTAAAAATCGACTGAAATTATTTGTAGATTTGTGGCGATTTTACCCAGATAGTGGAGTGCATACCTTTGGGATTAATTTCAATGTGAAAATCAGGTTCTATATGTTTTATTAGACAAGAAAAGCTGATGACGGCCCGTGGCAAATCGCGGAGTTCGGCAGATATCTGCGCCGACTGTAGTGCAGCGAGTATGTATAGATTCATATCCTGTCTTTTTGTCTAGCTTTGTGAGGCTTTTAAACCAAGCTAGCGTGTTGATTTTGTGCTTTTTCCCCTCCTTAGATCCGGCATGGGCTTCGATAAATCGTGGTGTGCTTATTTGCAACGACTGCTGCAGTGTCCATCGAAGTCTAGGCAGACATATCAGTCAAGTTCGACATTTGAAACACGGCAGTTGGACACCATCTCTCCTTCAAGTAAATATTTATATCTCGTAATTCCCGTCTGTGTTATTTTTACAAATATTTAATCATCGTTTCTTAAACTGAATGCCTGTCATTTATTCTAATTTCCCATATATTTTACACCCTCGAGTTAGGATATTAATTTAATGTTTAGACTGGTTTTGTCTTTTTAGAATGAGTTATTTACCGCTAGAATTGTTCGTATGTTTGATCGATAGCCGTAAATAATTTATCGGAAATAAATTGAACAAGCTATATATTTTCACTTTTATTTTTGTTGCGGAATTGAAATGTTCCTTGTATTAAAAATACCTGCAGTCTACAATTTCAGAAATATTTCATTTGACGTTCTAGAATTTCGAATTCTGATGCCCAACGTAAACAAATCGCTTATAAATAAAGAGTATAACTTGAATTGTCATGCGATCAATAGGCTACTTGTTTTAATATAGGTATATTGTTGTATTTTTAGTCAAATAAACCGTAATTTAAAATAGTTAATAATGATTTATGTTCATTAATGGACAAAAATCACACTGTGCAAAATGTAGCCTAATTGTTACTTGGTATTCTAATTATGGAGTAAATGAATTTTCTAGTATTTTGTTGTATACTTGTCCAAATTCTAAAATGGAATGGGTTTCTAGAATGTTTAGCATGCCAGCAATATTAACGAAAGCAACTAAACAACATACAATTAATTTAATTTGTTCAAGTGAGGCAGTCCCTACTTTATTTTTTGTATCCAAAGTGGATTACAGACGAGGAAGTTCTTCGTGACAATTGTATATGACAAATTTTATTTCCTCCTCTGTATAAGCAACTTTGCCATTTTTTTTTCCGTGACAAGTACACCTGTTGAAAAGCTAACATGCTAGCCTCAGAACAATTGCACTTGTCGTAGAAAAAAGTTGAGAAAGTACAATATATGTTCATCTGTATGCCTCGACAAAGAAAAATGAACTAGATACGTATTTTTTATGCCTTTGTACACTTCGGTGACAGCCGTAATAAAGAGTCTAACACCAGATGGGTTAAATATATTTATTTTTTAGATGGTCAATACGCTAGTGGCAAACGGAGCTAATTCAATCTGGGAGCATTCTCTACTCGATCCAAATCAAATAAAAAGTGGAATCAGAAAGCCTAACCCTAAAGATCCCGTAATGTAAGCTTGTCAGTCCTAGGCTGTCTTTAACAAAACTTCATGAATTATTTAGACATGTACTTGTGAAGTTCGCTACATTTAAAACTAATTAAAAGTAATAATTCATTTCAGACCAACAAAAGCAAATTTCATCCGAGCAAAGTACCAAATGTTGTCCTTTGTTCATCGGCTGCCTTGCAGAGACGATGATGAAATATCCACGGCAGATCTTAGTCAAGTAAGAGAATCATCTTTTTTCATCTTATGATAAAAACCTATCCTTAAGGATGCCTTTCTTTTGGGCAGTTATCTAAGACGGGCCTCTTATTGTGGACACATCCCAAATATGGTCACTTTTCTATTACAAATAGTACCTGGGCTATTTTCCAACATAATTCTCATATTTATTTTAATTTAGCAACTTCATTCAAGTGTTAGAACTGGAAATTTAGAAACATCATTGAGGTTATTGTCCTTGGGTGCGCAGCCTAATTATTATTTTCAGGTAATGGTCGTCAGAATTTGAATTTCATAGTAAGTTTTACAGGTAAACTATGCGAAGCGTTCCTCTTTTGAGTTCCTAAGTTGATTGCAATTTTTCTCATTAGCAAATTTGAAAAACTCCTTTGCAAATCCCTTGAGGGAATTTGCAATGTTCCAAAGAGCCAAATAAATTTTCCTCAGTTCCTGTTGGAAGTTCTTAATTTCCTGTCACAAGTTCCTAATGTTCTGTTCTGCGCATTGCAATTGGCTAACAAAAATAAACCACCACTGATAATACTCAGAACAGAACAGGAAGTCAGGAAATTAAAACAGGAACTTTCTTTGCATTGGAATATTGCAACGGCCGACAGGAAAATTGCCAAATTCCTCAAGGGATTTGCTAAGAGTGTTTTAAATTTGCAAAGCTAATGATGAAAATTCCAAATGAGTTTACCTGTAATAAAAGCTTTCCACGGTGGTCAACTGCAGAAGAATTGATACTTAATAAAGGAGCAAAAAAATTATACAACTCCTAAAATTATACAATATTTCAATTTTATTTATTTGCTTATAAAGCTACGTTTACACACAACGATTAATCAGGCCGATGTCAGGTTTTCCAAAATGTTAATGACGAATGTTGTCAGTTGACGATGTTGTCAGATCACATTGACAGCGTATTTTTCAAATAACATTTACTTAAAGCTGAATCGGCCCAATTAATCATTGTGTGTAAACATACTTTAATGAAAAGCTTTGACATGATTTCATTCCTTTGCTTTGCTAACTGTCTGTTCACTTATGTCTGTTCACAATAGTACTCAGTAAAAACCACCAATTTATGGAAAATGTTTTAAATTTCTATTGTTGCAGGAGAAAGGCAACTGTCCACTCCATATTGCTGCAAATGCTGGCCAGTTACTTCAAGTTGAGTTACTCTGTGTTCACGGTGCTGACCCGTCTCTGTTAGATATCGAAGGAAAGCCTCCATTGGATTATGCCATGTAAATATATTTACTACCTTTTACTGTGTTACTGTTATAAGTAATTTGGCCTGAAATCCTTCATTTGTATGACCAGCTTGTTCATGATAGTCTTTATGGCATGAAAACTGGCTTGAAAAAGCTTTTGTATTCCATGTTTTTGTTAAACAATTTCATTCGAATAATTTTTAAGGGATGCTGGTCATATGTCGTTGGTTGAAAGATTGATCAATTTACAGTGTGAGGTCACAGATAGATTGACGTATTATTTATGTGGCAGGAAGCCTGGTGGGTTAAACTTGAAGTGATTAAAGTTTTGAATACTTTCTTTTATAATAAGAAAATATGAGCATTGATGTTAAAGCAGAAGTCTCACCTTTTTCATGGTTTGTAATTTGTGTTTAGATCATAAAGATGGACACAAATTTTTTATCCCAGCAATGGCAAACAGGTATAATTTCATTTAACTTTTAATGTCTGATTATTACTTGATTATCATTTCTTTGTTTGTCCTGGCTCGTCAGCTTTCTAAGTGATCAAACTATTAATGTGAACACATAATTTAATGTTTCAGCTCTCTAGATTTATCTGAAAATGCAAAACTTGCAAAACAGAAACTACAATTGGTAGGTTTAGATTGTCAAAGTTCTTAATTGTCTGACATTTCTGTAAAGTTTATATTGGTGTGTCATCTATGGTACATTAAATTTTACAGTTTTATAGCTAGGGAGTATTGTGACTTGTATTCTAATGGTGGCTTTCTTTACTTAGTTAAGTAACCATCTCTTTGAAGAACTATCCTCAGATGTATACGATGAAGTGGACAGACGTGAAACTGATGCAAGTAAGTTGAAAGTTGATAGTCTTATGTTCACAAACCGCACCTGAAACCATGTTATATTACACATACAAACGTAACTGTGTACCGTATGTTATAGTTTGGTTAGCGACACAGAACCACAGCGACTTTGTAAGTGACCGTACCGCTGTACCATTCCTGCCAGTCAACCCAAGCTACTCATCAACCAGGAATCAAGGAAGACAAAAACTTGCATTGTTTAATGCTCAAGAATTTTCAACACTTGTTCTTGATATTGTTATTGATGCCAGGAGAAGGGAAATGGGCTCTCAACTCGACTTGAATGATGGTATGAAAGCGTGGATTGTAAAATGTGGCTTAAGTATCAATATATACAATATGATTGATTTATTTCAATGAAGATGTAAGCATAAAATATATGATTTTGTTTTTCAGATTTCATGGATAACGAGTTGGAAAATGATGGTCATGATTATGATGAAGTTGCCAGCGATGACGGCATACTGGAGGTAATGAACAGTACCCGGATTATATTAAAGCCGGTTTCCACTGCACAGCTTTTGTCTGCCGCATGGAACCTGCTTACAACTTGAGTTGTACTGTGTAAATCAAGCACATGATTCGCCTACCTAGTACTGCATGTGTAAATCAACACACAATTCACCTACGACAACCTAGACAAGTTGTGTGCTTGATTTCCACAGAACAACTCAAGTTGTAAGCAGGTTGCATGTGACAGACAAAAACTGTGTGTTGTAAATCGTCCTTTACTCTTTAGAGAAGCATCTCAACCATCCGTCTGTCAGATCATTCATCTTAGTGTAAAATATTTTCATTCTGTTCAGCCAATCAACGAAACTCGTGAGGCAATCAAAGAAAAAATTATGACAGAAAAGCAGATGATTGATAAAGAAAATATTACGGAGGAAGAGTCAGAGGTATTGTAGAAATGATCACTAGGAGTTAGTATGGCACGGGAGGTGCTGCCTCAAACTTGACTACCTCAACAGATAGATTGTGAAAAGCCTGGGCACACATTTGGTATTTTGTGTTGTTCAAAGCGCCGATAATTCCATTTGGGAACACTGGACACACTCGTTACACTTTACGAGTGGTTTCCGGAAGGATGTATCAGTTGTATTTAATTATTTCATGGGGCTTTTTCGCAGATATAGAAAAAATCTTATTGTATCTTTACTTTGTTTCTAGCCTGAGAGAGTGTTTGAGGCGTTCAATACAGATATCCCTGAACCGAACGAAGACCAGAAAGATTTTGTACCGATTGCCCAATACAAGAAACTACAAAAATCCCTTTTCGAATCACAGGTCGGTGAGAGATATGTTTTACATCTTTACATGTTTTTACTAGGATTTTGCAACAGGGCAGGAAAAAGAAGTTTCTTTCAGAGAGCACAACCTGGAGACAAAAATTTCCTGCGGACCAACGGAGTATTTCTGTGCTAAATCTGCATGTGCATAAACATATAGTGTTCTAGCTGACCATGGTTTTAAATTCAAGGAATAATGTCTGTCAACATATGTTGTTGCGCCCATAGTGGGACATGGGTGTTAAGGTTTCCTTCAAATTTTCAATAGCAAATCTTCATTCCAACGAATTTCCTGCAGCTGTTTAACATTTCCTGCGAGCAGTGCTCGTGTGCTCGCCTATTTTTTCCACCCTGTTTCGCAAGATCGATTCCTGCCTGGAGGCCAGAAAATTGTAATATAATCTTTCGCTTAAAATTCCCATCTACAAAAAACCTTCAAGTATTGAATGTCATGTTTGTATTGTTTTATCCAGGAAAGAGTCAATGATTTATCTCGAGAGAATGAAGATCTTTTAAAAGAAATAAATGTATTAAAAACTGTGGTAAGACTTGCGAAGAGATTCGAAACATTTGACGTTGCTCGCGAACGACCCTCATCACAAACTTCGACAGTTGAAATTTTTGGGTAAATCTTTCAACTGACTTTTCTCTCCCAGGTTCTAACGTTAAAAGAAGAAATTTCAAATCAAGAAGTTTTTCCTCCAGTCGCTGAAGAACCTAAAACAAACGGACATTTACATAATGACGATAGTATAACGAATATCGTAAGTTGGAAATTTAAACTAAACTTACTAGCAGCATTTGTAAACTCAGGCTCGTAACGAAAGGTGGTACAATGGGGTGAAATTTCGAAGTTTTCATCAACAAGGCCAAAAAAAATATGTGGGTTTCCGGTTTCCCGACCCTACCTAGCTTTTGCACACCAAAATCCCGACCCTAAACTTTTTTATTGGATCACTTAGAGGAAAACGTTTGTGGAAAATGAAAATTTGAGGCAATATTAGGGAAATTTATGTTTGGATATGGAAGCACTGACTAAACAAAATGGCGTCCTGTTGTTAGGAAAATTTTTAAAAAAAAGTTTAAAAAAAAATTAAAAACCGACCTACCCTACCTACCGTTTTTACAAGAGGAAACCCACATATTTTTTTTGACCCAATTAGTTCTATCGAGTGAAATGCCCAAAATCTTGATATTTGCCCAGACCTCTTACATTGGCGTCACTCACGTGTATATGCATGAACTTGTGGTTAGAGTTCGACAACTGGTCTCTGTAGCTCAGTTGGTTAGAGCGCTGCACCGGAATCGCAGGGCCTCCGGTTCAATTCCTACAAGAGTGCCTATAGTTGCATTTTTCACAATTGCTCGTTAGGTCTGACAAGGCCAAAAAATATATATTTGGGTTGCCAAAACTTAGGTTAGGGTTTTCTTTTTTTTTTTTGTTAAATTTGTTTTTATAAAGGCTCATGCATAAGATATTTCACGTCAATTACGACAGCACAGATGGCACAAACATTTGTTCAATGTTGTAGCAACTTTGAAACAAACAGACTTCATATAGATAGTACAAAACTAACGCCACGAAATGGCTACGAAAATTGCTCCAAACTCTTTGCAAACCTCAGATAAAAAAGATTAGGGTCAGTGATTTCAGCGGCCAAAAGCTAGGTAGGCTCAGGAAACCCAGGTATTCTTTACTTTGGCCTAAATAGATATAATAAGAAGAAGAAGAAAATTAATAATAATTAAATTTCTAGAGCGCATATACATTACTGTTCTATGCGCTTGTAATAATAAGTTCTTTGTAGGATTGCATGGCGATAAAACATGTAATACTTTTTGTTTTTGTGGAAACGTAAATTTACGCGGTGTTTCCACAAACAAAAAGTATTATATATATAATAGTAGTACCAATGTAAATATCTGACCTAGGCTGATCAAAACGTAATCGAGGACGAAGACTCTGAGGATGATATGGTCGACGTCAGCGAGATCATAAGTTACGAAGCTCCAGGTGCTTTGCTTAAGAAGTCTCGGGAGACAATCAACTCAAACTCGTCTGCAAAAATGTACGACAACGTTCCGAAGACGCCGCCGCCGAAATCCAACGACAGCGAATCGTACTTTCACGGAGATGAAGAAGGCGTGATTACTGATTCAGACGGTAAGAATGACTTTCAGCATATTGGACGTTTTATTCCCGTAGATTTCATATCTCACACAGTGGTCAGTCTGTAACACTGGATCAATAAGAGATGATCCTTACTGGACCTCTAGGAAGAACAGTTTAGAACTGATAGAGCTATCCAGTATAAATAAAGTTAGTTTAGTTTAGGTTTCCTCTTGTAGTAACACTGGATCAATAAGAGATGATCCTTGCTGGACCTCTGGGGAGAACAATTTAGAACTGATAGAGCTATCCAGTATAAATAAAGTTAGTTTAGTTTAGGTTTCCTCCTGTAGTAACACAGGATCAATAAGAGATGATCCTTACTGGACCTCTACGAAGAACAGTTTACAACTGATAGAGCTATCCAGTATAAATAAAGTTAGTTTAGTTTAGGTTTCCTTCTGTAGTAACACTGGATCAATAAGAGATGATCCTTACTGGACCTCTAGGAAGAACAGTTTACAACTGATAGAGCTATCCAGTATATATAAAGTTAGTTTAGTTTAGGTTTCCTCTTGTAGTAACACTGGATCAATAAGAGATCATTCTTACTGGACCTCTAGGGAGAACAGTTTAGAACTGATAGAGCTATCATCCAGTATAAGTAAAGTTGGTATATTGAAATATTTGTACCAGAAAACATGAAGCAAGAACTCGAAGACGAAGCTCGACGTATCATGAACGAAGCTGACAGTCTCATCAATCTTTCTCAACCTCGACTTACGAAGGAAGAAGTGGTTCTGTGCACTGAACAAATTACAAAACGTATCCAGGAATTATTACTTGCTGCTCAAGCTGGAAAACACAGCAGGTGTGTGGACATTGGTTTGGTGGGAGGGTAGGTGGGTGGGTGGCTATGTTAGTAGATGGGCTAGTGGTTGGTTAGGTAGGTAAGTGGGTGGGTATGTTGGTAGATGGATTGATTGTTGGTTGGTTGGTTAGGTTGATGGGTGGGTAGATGGGATGGTTGGTTGGTTAGGTTTATGGGTGGGTAGATGGGAGGGTTGGTGATTAGGTAGGTCGATAGATTGGTGGGTAGGTTGGTTGGTTATGTAGATGAATGGGTGGGTTTTTAGGTTGGTAGGGTAGGTTTGTAAGTTAGTTGGTAGGCTTGGTTAGTTTCATGTAACTCGCATATAAATATTTCCGGGTTTTATTTCTATAGTTTTATTCCATGTTCAAATAATATCTTATTCGCCGTCAAGAATATGACGTCATTATTTCCTGAGGTAAGTGCAGGTTGTTTATTTAACGTTGTTTAAGCGTTTATATGTGAAACAATTTATTCACTTTATTAACTTTTATGCATGAACAACCACTAGAAAATAAATTTAAGAATATACAATAATTTCAGAAATAGTTTCACAATAATTTCAGAAACATTATTTTCTCACACTGATAAGCGGGACAATGACTCTCGACCAATGAAAGCGCTTGAATTCTTAAGGTTATTATATAATAAAAACAGGCACCAACTTCAAATTTTACTCTGTATAGAACCCGCCCATGATGGCTGTCCGTGCAGCGCTCGACCTCATGAACCAGAGCTCGGTGAGACTCGAGGTCGAATGTAAAAACACTGTCCTCCCCGAGAACTCTATCGATATGGCACAACTCACACAACAAGTCATCCAGTGCGCGTACGATATCGCGAAAGCCGCGAAAGAACTGGTGACTACCGTAGCATATTAACAAATACTAATAATAGATTTAGATCAGGAAATGTTGACGGGGTCGAAATATGTGCACGAGGCTCGTATGTCGGAGGTGTTCGTCAGAAGATTGGAGCCGATACCTGCCTTTATCAATGAAATAATTACCGCAGAATATCTCAAACACAAAGCACAGGAATGAAAGTCTAAACGTAGTGAGTCTACAATTGTAGTAGCCTGTGTTACAGCCGTAGACTCGTGTCTCGACGATTAACGGCTGTGGCACAAGTCAAAATTTGTGTCATGTGCACTTAAAAAGCGGCCAAGCATGTTGTTTCAGTTTTGTAGCAGGCTTGCTACAATGTTGTCTCAACTGGTGATGCCACAGCCTACACCTACGCCTTTTTTTAATATTAGTTTTTATTTTTAATATTCAGCGCGCTTTTTGCATGAGAAGACTGGGACCTAGCGATTTGGGGGCGGGGCATCCTCCCTTTCATTTCGCCTGTGACGTCATACTTGGCAAACGCTAACTCAAAATTGACCAAAGCCAGCTGAAACAGCAGAGTCTAGAAAGGTCAAGGTCTAGGCTGGTGACGTCACTATTCTACACTCAGTTGATGTAATAACGTCACACAGAAGATTCGTCGGAAATGGTTAAGATTGACGTTTACGGAAGACCGGTAACCGCTAACCGCTAATTTCAAGTCGTATTTTGAGGTCAACGTAAGCTGTTCGAAGTTAGGACAATTTGTGCGTTAAAATTGAAGAATGAATTGACTAAAAACCTGCCGAAACCTTCGGAAACTTGTAGAACTTTCCTTCGAATGCGAATTGGTGTTTCCCGTTTATGGTTACCGATATGCCGTTGAGAAACTCGTTATGACGTCACTACATCAACTAAGTGGAAAATGAGCTCTCATTCTCGAAGGCGAACACTCGCTAGCAAATGCGCGCAATCAGAAATATTTTACGATCAGTCTTGTGAAAATCAAGCTTGCATGGCCAGTACCCTGAAACACAAGCCTTGGAAAGACTGGGTATTTAAATTTACGGACCGTTTACACTTGCATTTTTGTCTGCGATTTTTAGTGCGATGTTCTCCTTCTGATGGATGTGAACGAGTGGATGAGTCATAAATGTTCTGAGTATATGAACTTATCTCAACATTCATAATTCATCCACTCGTTCACATCCATCAGAAGGTGAAAATCCCAGAAAACATTGCAAGTGTGCAACAGGCCTTAAAATGAAAGGAGATGAATGATTATTGCATCAGTATGATACTTCTCTCTGTGGGAATCCTATAAAGTTTCATCGTCGCAAATAAAAGGGAAAATTACCAAATCAACTTCGTTATGGAGAATTCAAAACTGATTTTGTAAATAAGATTAAAAAAGGTTATTTTTATATGGTTTAAGAGCTACCTAACGTTACTAAGTTTGTATTTAAATTTGTTGTGGTTTAAAAATGTAGAAATACGTACTGAAATGATGTGTTGTTGTGTTATTTCATTTGCAGTGTTGACTGTTGTCATGCACCTAATGTACTCGCATACATAATTTAAATGCTTGGTTACCTTTGTTCCATTCTATGCTTACAACTGTGCTAACTGAGTTATCTGAAAATGTGAATTTGGGAAGCAAAACCTTCGTGCGTTATAGAGGATGGTGTAATAGGTATTCATATATGTTGTAATAAGTATTCATATATGTTGTAATAGGTATTCACATATGTTGTAATAGGTATTCATATATACAATTCGAAAGTTTTTTGAAATAGTGAATTGATGGATAGATAACGTTTAATGACGTTTTTCGTCACCGTAATTTAGGTTTTGAATAATACAAGTTTTACAACATTTTTTTACATTATAATACAGTCAAATTTTCAAAGTTAAAATGAATTCAAAATAGAATTAACGCGCCCAGCGCTCACTGCTAGTAATTATTTTCACATTCATTTACTTCAGTGACAACAATCTCTTGTTCTTCCATTCGTTTAGTCCTTTGTAACTCTTCAACTTTATTCCTCAACAAGTCAATAGTTTCGTCTTTTGCCTCGCTCTCTCCTCGTAATTTTGAATTTTCGACTTCTAATAATTCCAGTCTCTTTTGGCACTTGTGATGTTTTGTTTTAATGTTTTGTAGTTCTTGTTTGTGGTTGTCTTTTTCTCGTTGAAATTCTTGGATAACATCGTTCAGCAGGGAGATTTCTTTTTCCTAAATTGAATACTTATAAGTTCAGGAATAAGGAATAGTGAACAATGGTCTAATTACCACGTAGGCACGTAGCTACTCTGGTTGCCGTTCACAATCTACAGTACTTTGAATATGATCTGATCGGATAATTTCAATATTGGTGCTGTTATTAATTATTACATACTACAGGGTGTACAGTATAAAAAAAACGCAACCTCGGTATTTCCCAAGAAATCGACATTGTTTTAAGGACAAAAGATTTTAGGTGCCTGGGAATTTAAAATAGCACAATTGTCAAAATTACTGCACACGCGAGTGCATAAAGCAAAATTCCCTCAAGGGAATACAAGGGCTTTGTTTTATCACATATTTTAACCATACAAAATATGCAAATGTTCAGTTGTTTTTAAGTTAGGATTGTTAGATGAAATTTGAATTGCAAACTTTGTCAAATTCACTCCATGTGTGTGCCGTGTGATGTATTTTATCCGCCCTACGAAGTGGAAAGGAAAAGAAAAGAAAGAAAAATGTACTCTATATGGTGAGTATTGTTACATGACAGTTTTTATTCGTGTTCGAGAAAGCTTGCTGATTGATATAGGGATGAGAAATATAAGGAGAACTTCGACGTTTCGAGCGAATACCCTTCGTCGTGAAGTTAGTGTCGCCGCTTTAGTCACTTCGCTCGAAACGTTAAAATTCTCCTTGTATTTTTCAGGTAGTTGTATCCCTATTAATCCGAAACTTTGTTATTATTGCCACTACCTACACTGTTACACACCGTTCAAGTCAAGATTATATTCATGTTTGTTTTTGTCTGTGTAGATACACGCATTAGGCGTTGGATGAATGCGGTAATGTCATGTAGTCCTGCCACCAAGGTTTCAATATTTCGGTAAGTTTATGTAGCCAATTATTTTTACCTTGACTTTCATGGCACTCTTGAGTTCTTGAGATAATTTTCTTTCGACGCTTTCTACTTGAGTTATTCCCAGTTGCTCCTAGAATATTGATATGATGGCTGAGTGCTGGATCCAGCCAGGGTATTTTAGGAGAGTGCTGGGCGAGCAGCCAAACATATCGAACCCAGCGCCGACCAGTGTACTGTCATGAAAGACCACCTTGTAGTTTCGTGCTTACAATTTACAGATATGTTGAATAAATATAATTGATTGTGTGAAAGACAAGATGGATATTTTTCACATTTGAATATTTGATTTGTAATTTTTATTTTCATTATCAAATACTTATAATGTTAGATGTTTGTAGCAAAATTGAGAATTTTCCTTAATTAAGTATGAAAGTAAAAATTATTAATATTGGACTTGTTAGTATTTTGAATTGCAAAACTTGTGATAAACTCAGACCCGACGCCTTCCTTGGTAATTGAAAAAGAAGAACAAACAATTACCTGTGATTGACTCAATTTCTGAGTGGTTTTTGTTTCATTGTTTACGTCTTTTGCCGTGCTATTGCTCTGATTACTTTCGTTACGAATTTTATCTTTATATTCTCCAGAGCTTTCTTGTCTCTCGGCTTTATTCTGAAGGCCCTGGGTACGAGATTCATTAATATCCCCTTCTTTCGTAAACGCCTCGTTTTCATGCGCAGTCACTGAACTCACAGACTCGCGTAGCACCTGTAGTTCAAATTGCGGCCAACGTTTGTTAGGGACCTGGACACCAGTGGCCTCTCGGTAACTGCTGATTTTACGAGTCCGGTCAAGTCGCTCTTTTCCATACGCTGAGAGTATTTCCTGACGAGAAATGAAGAACAAATTTTTGATTATTAGTTGACTATTAGTTCCAAACGATGACTATTAGTTCCAAACGGTTCTCCCTAGAGGTTCGGTAAGAATCATCTCTTATTGATCAAGTGTTACTACGGGAGGAAACCTAAACTAAACTAACTTTATTTATACTGAATAGCTCTGTCAGTTTTAAACTATTCTCTCTAGAGGTCCAGTGAACGTACAATGATTGATATAATTAAATTCATCACTGTTCACCTGTGCCTCGGGATAATCTCGTGTTGCTGCTAATACATCCTCTCGCAACAACATAAAACACTCGGTATAACCAACTGAGCGGACATCTGCTATACGTCTGAAAAACACAACAGATGTAACGGTTTGGAAAAATGTCTGGATTATTCAATGAATGGTTTGGCATACGTAAATATCTTCAGAGTCAATGTAAAGTTAACTACAAGTTTGCCTGACCTATTTTGTCCTCCACTGAGATTCAATATCCCAATCTCTCCGAAGAAATCTCCAGATCCCAACTCTTTTAAAACATCGCCAGACTCTCTAAAAAATTGATCATCAAGTAATGGTTCATCAAGTAATGGTTCCTTGTATATGTGAATGGAAATAAATACAGTTGTTTTGTGTTTGTGGAAAACACGTTTGTTTGTTTACTTTCCAATGTTTTCGCTCCTTAATTAAGTCCGGATCTTTATCAAATAGGACGTCGTCCAACTTACCCAATAATTTGTACAATTCCGTCGCTGATAAGGTACATTTCTCGTGCAATTTCTCCACGGCGGACAATAAGATCTCCGGGAGTATATATTGTCAGTTTCATCTTGAGTAAGAGATCATGTAAGAATTCTGGTTGACATTTTTGTAGGAATGAGACCTGAAGAGAGGCAAGAGAATGGAAGCAGGTTAGTATTCGTTACTTTAGTCGTGATGATGGTGGTATTAGTGATGATATGGTGATGACAGTAGTGGTGATGACAGTGGTGCTGTTGATGATGGTGGTCGTGATATGGTAGTGGTGGTGGCGATTGTAATGATGGTGATCATGGTAATGAAGGTGATGATGGTGATGACAGTGAAGGATGGTAATGTTGGTGATGGTGGTATTAACAATGATGATAGTAGTTGCGGTGATATTATTGGTGGTGATCTGATGCTAGCAATGACAGGCAGAAGATAGTAATCAAACACTATCGCCCGTATTCTAAAAGCTCACTCAAACTCAATGAGTGGAGGTTCAATCTGAGCTTCTCTTGAGTGTTAATGCTGTTTTTGAATAGCTGGAGGGCTAGTGTCATGCTCGGTGACTACTCACCCTCCAGCTATTCAAAAACAGCAATGACGCTCAAGAGAAGCTCAGATTGAACCTCCACTCCTTGAGTGTGACTGAGCTTTTAGAATACGGGCGTATACCTTCTTCAACGTATCCAAATGAATATGAATTGCTAATTCTGTTTTCATTTTATGCGGCAGCAGATTCAAGGAATTGAGATCATCGACACCGTTAATTCGTCCTCTACAAGGAAGCCAACACTTGGTGAGTTTGATTAAATCTTGTTCATGTACTAAACAGTTGTATAGTTTAGTGTTTGTGAATTCATGGAAACCAGGTATAATTCAGTAAAATTCTGGCAATCGCGGGAGGAGGAAGGGAGTGTTTCCATCGTGTACTGTGATCTAAAGGCGTTTTACCTTTGATAAGCATAGTCGTACCACAACAAAACGCGTTCTTGAAGTTCTTTAGGAACTTTTCTTTCTTCCATGTAATTCCTCGCTTCATCCTGGGAGAAAAATAAAGATTTTTAGGATGGTATATAAAAATAATATTTAATATTATGAAATTATTTAACTGAGTCGTTGGTACATACCCTTTGCTGTTCAAAAACGATTTTGTTTGAATTTCTGTTCAAGATTATGCCACCGATATTTCCTGCCAAATAATTTAAATTAACATCATTAGATTGTTGTCTACGACACTGCATAAGCAAACATATACGTACGATAAACTATATAGCCTATATGCATTTATTTTCTGTGTACATTTGACGCAAGTTAAGCTTCCACTGAGAGACTGGAGCTCTTAGACGAATTATAGCTTAGGACTAAAAGATTTCACACAAGTAGGATTTTTCATTAACGTAAGAGTCTCTTACCTACAACTGTCGCAAACATGAAAACGCCACAGAGATAACAACAGATTGTGTACAAGTATCTAGAAATGATTTATTAAATGTTAGGAATTATTGACTATTTGGTGGCCCAGTGTTAAAACATGTGCCTTTCGCATCTGTACATATCAAGATTTTTGGGCAAGATTCGCGATAGAAACTCAATTTACGTCCTTTAATTCTTGGTAACTTATAGAAACGGTTTCATTTTTGAGATCTAGAATTAGAAATACCATCAACTTACTCTAGGTCTGTTTCAGGCGCGGGCAGATCTCCAATTGCAGTCAGTGTCAATGTTGACCAATAAAACGAGCGTGCGTACTTTCTTGTTAAGCTCACAAAGCTTCCGTTCATCGCAGGGTAGACCCACTCGTTCGAGCCTGGTCCTTCGTACTCAGATATCATAAAATAAAAACTTGCATTCCAGTGAATCAGCAAGAACATTGAATGCACCAATATCGAAACACGAAGCAGCGCCGGACTCGAGGACATCGATTCAATATTTGTCTTCACTTTCATTAGTTTGTACACTTTTATCAACCTGACCAGCCTTAACGCTGGTGTCACCCCCAGCGCAATGTATAAAAAATCCACCGGTAAGATAGCTAAGAGATCGATATAAAACCTTCTTGTAAACAAATACATAAATGCGACCCTCTTTACATCCTGAACAAGGATACCGTTTTGCAGAAAACTAATCCGTGAGGATATTAAAATATCAAGGATATAAACCAAATCAATTACATAATCAAATACCAACAGCGCTATGATGCCTCGCGAGATTATAGATTCGTCCAAAAACGCAATCCTGAATATAATAGTCCAAAAATGATAAAATATAGCCAAGGCTAAAACACAATTCCAAAAATATACAAAAGTGCTTTTAGGGTCGAGGACTCCAGTTGTGAAACCCCATTTCTTGTTTGTGGTGTCAAGTTTGGGACTTAAGCTTTTGTGAAATGATTCGCATTGTAGTAGCTCCGGTTGGATTGAAATTGGACTTGAACTCAGAGGTCTTTCGTGCAAACTATGCAGTTGACGGGTGCTAAATCGCTTCAAAAATGGATCGACAACCGATTGTTTTCGTTCCCTAGTCCGTGGTGGTTTATTTTGTGGTATGTCATCAACCCTACTCGATCTCTCTTCTCGGAATCTTCGCTTCAACCATTCCCAGCGATTTTTTGGATCAGGAATTGACAAGGTTTCCAAGTTTGATTCCTCGTCCGTATCGCTCACACAACTTTCACATATCTCATCCTGGTCCGTTGTTCTACCGGCCTCAGACATTTTAGAAATCGTAATTAACTTAGCTTTAGCCTGCTTTATCTGTCTAAGATATGCCTTTCGTGTTTACATATTATATATAAGCTATAGTTGGAACGACTCAGGCGCTTAGCCGTCTTACGACAATGGATGCGTACTGTTGACCTAACTAATCCCTGCTCAATTTTTTTCCAGTTCATTTGATATTACTTAATTGATGTGTTTCAAGAAGCGTTACTAGCAGGCTAGTAGATTGCTGCTCAATTTCAGAAATGTTGACAGTCTTCTTGGAGCAAGCACTGGATCTCATAAATCTTTTTATTTGCCTCTAAACGTAGGGCTACTATATATGAAAAAAATTAACATTATTTTCTCCTTTGGCTAACTGCAGGTTGACCACCTCTGCTGCACGATAGTGCTTAGTGAAACGTAGCTATAACCTGCTATTTTCAACCTAAGCAGTTTGTGTCCGTGTATTTAGTTCCAATGTCAAGAAAGCCTCGGATTGCTAGGGATACAATAGGGATACAACTACCTCAAAAATCATCGGGAAAGGCCTCCAACCAAGAGTCTTCGCTCGAAACGTCAAAGTTCTCCTTGTATTTTCAGGTAGTTGTATCCCTATATTTTTCAACCTAATATGTCCTAATATCCGACATGTTCTAAATCCTAATGAATTGCATTCACGACCCAATGTTTCAACACTGCATGCGTCTAGTGTCTTCATCAGCGATGATCTAAAGTAGCAACGTAGCTTCTCACAGACTCGAAGCAAGATATAATTACCGACAATAATGAAAAAATACTCTTGTGGTAACTTTTCTGAAAAAGCGACTTCAGTATTAATTACCAATCACATTTATCTTGTTTAACTTTGCTATTATCAACTCCAAAACTACGTATTCAGTCTCAGACCCCTACGCGGTCGATGCCATGTAGCTCAGTAGACCTCTTAACAAATACCGACGTCATATTAAATCGCGTTGCATTGTTGTTAGACTTTGCGACTGCAGTGTCAAATTTTTTACATTAGATAAACTGCGCATTTCAAAAAATCTGATTTTGTCTCTAATCTTTAAAGTTAGTTTTTTCTTGCTAAATATAATTATGAATTATCTTGATTTGACATTTAAAAAAAAAAACTGTTTTAAAACACAAACTTCCTGTATCAGATGGCAAAGTTCATCCAACATGCACGCTAGACTAAAAGGATTTTGCGGCAGCCTATACCAACAACATGCCTGTGGCTGCAGATTTGTGGTGAAATATTGTCGGGAAAATAGCGAGAATTTAATTTTGCTATAATTAATAATGGGGCTTTAAACTATAATTTGCTACATTTTCCATTACAGACGATTCCTATTGGTAGATATTTGTTCAATGATCATTTATTACGGAACACATCCAACTCAATGTTTTTTATTTTTAAAAGTAAAATATTGTTGAAACACTTGACCTTCAGGCTTCAACAACAAATTAAACCTAATTGCAAACTAAAAATTATTTAAATCATCAATTATATTTTAGATGTTAATTTATCAAACTTTTTTAATAAAACACATTGTAGCATATAGTTGACAGTTTTTATCATATCATCAAAATCCTGCAAGCGAAATAGTTTTTGCATTTCTACTGACTCGTTGCTTAAAATATTCATCGTGTCCGCGCTTCAATGATTTAATTTATCTCCGAAACTCAATCAATTTTCTCATTAAATTCTTGCAAATAAGATTAGCGGACGCTAAGTGTTGATTGGCTCCGTCTTCCGATGTCGGCACACAAAACTAATCTCCTCTTTTTAACAATACAACGTAAACAAAATTGTTTTTGTCTAATATTTGTGTAGCCAATGGCAAAAATATCATGGCATGCCGAAACATTTATGAATGTTGATGTAGATTATTATCATTAAAAGCGAACACAAATTGTGAAAGTTGAATTTAAAGGATGGAAAATTGAACAAATTTTTAAAAAATACATGCATAGTCTGTTAAAAATAATTACAATATATTTTCCGTTTGCTATTTATAAGTTGAAGTAAGCTCCGCTGAGATAACGCAATTTTATCCGCATGTATAAATTCTTGCAAAATAGGCATTCAAAGTTCGATTTAGGGTACTTGTCACTTGAATTCTACCCAGTTTTTTTTGTTTTGTGTATAAATCTTACTTTTTTTGTGCTGCATTTGGATTTTTGTCAGCGTTGCGGATTAGCAAGCCCAGGCTAAGATTGGTTTATCGAATTTAGTCGCATGATGTAGTGAACAAATATACGGATTATCTAACTTTATTGAATAATTTAAGTGATATCGATTAGAGCTGGAATTAAAACGCGAACACCTTATCACGACATGAAATTTGAAGAAAACGACCCGGCTTCATTTGAAAACACCGGCGCTATGGCTGACGAGGAATGCCTAGGAACTGTTTTTGAGGAAAACGCCGCAACAATGGGTTTAGAAAACTCAGAAGATAAACAAAAAGAAACGTTCTTGATAGCTCCTGAAGAAGGCGAGCATATTTCAAGCCTACAATCGGATCGTTGGCGAAAATTAACCAGACAAATTCGTGGAGCGATTGCAATTAAAAACGCAGCCGTGAAACCGAATCGCAGAAGAACTGGTCGAAAATCTACAACTAATATCGACCCTTTCCTGCAGAAATTTAGCACGAGAGAGATAGGGCTTGCTACGCAAGTCTCTGGAACCTCATTGCATTCAATCGAAGAGGAAAACGAAAATCGTTCGCCTGGAGAAGATGCGCCACAAGATATAGACGAGGATCAAAGCTCAGATCCTTGCCTATTTAATGCATCTTTTACACTAAGTGACCTTTACCCGACCGGGGTTATTGACCCCGATGGCGCATTTATATATTACTGGATGTATCTGCTTATAACTGCAGTACGCTACAATCTGTGGGTGATCATTCTACGTGTTGCTTTTGTAGAATCTCAAGAGAATTACGTAACTCTATGGTGGGCCTTAGACTCTGCAGCTGATCTCATATATTTACTGGACATATTTGTCAACTGTCGGGTAGGGTTTTTCGAACAAGGAATTTTGGTACGAGATCCGAAACTCGCTTGCTGGCGCTACATTTTTAGCTGGAAGTTTTTTCTGGACATCATTTCAATATTGCCTTTGGAATTGCTGTATTTTAAGATGGGAATTAAACCAATTTTACGTTTCCCAAGATTGTTGAAGACTTATAAATCACAAGAAATAAAAGCGAAAGTCGAAGGTCGCGCGAATCATCCCACGATAGTTCGCGTATTTTTTCTCGTACATTTGATGTTTTTGCTGCTCCACTGGAATGCTGGGATATATTTTCTCATCTCGCGCGCCGAGGGATTTGGTTTGAATGATTGGGGTTATCCAGCATTGAACGGTAGTTATAATACGCTGACCAGAAAATACGTGCACTCGTTTTATTGGTCTGCCCTGACGTTGACCACTATAGGAGACCTTCCGTCACCCGAAACGAATGTCGAGTAAGTTCCGCATTACTAGTGCTGGTCATTGCGAGGGTGGCCAACTTCCACTGTATAGGATCAACTTAACGTGATGGAAATTGCCCATTTCAATGTTTATTTACACTTTGGAGAAATGTAATATTTTGGTCTTATTGTCATGTTAATCAGGGCGCATTCTTTCGTGCCTAAAATATAGACTGAAAAGAACCCTTCTCTCAAAAGTGTAAATAATAAGTACGGTTGGTTTGTGTGTGTTCTTTTACCACTGTGACCGGGGTTTGTCTCCTACAGTATGCATGAGTATGCAGTTGTCTCGTAATTTCTAGTAAACTGTAGAAAACTTAGTAACATCGGATCAATAAGGATTACCCTCACCGGAGTATCGGACTATGGGAAAAACAGTTTAGAACTGATAGAGCTACCCAGTATAAATAAAGTTAGTTTAGTTTAGGTTTCCTCCTGTAGTAACACTGGATCAATAAGAGATGATCCTTACTGGACCTCTAGGATGACTGATAGAGCTATCCAGTATAAATAAATATTACTTTCTAAACATTTTCAATTTTACTTTTTAGGTACTTTTATACAATTGCGTGTTATCTTTCTGGAGTCTTTGTATTTGCTATGATTGTTGGTTAGTATCATAACCCTTCTCATTGTCATTTTTGGAAATTTTATACGGACATCCTATTTAGATTTTTGTTTCCGCAGCCAAACCATGAACGAACAAACAATTTTCATCTCCGGTATTTTTATCTCAGGTAACGCAGGCAGCATAATTCTTGACAGGAACGCAAGTCGTATGGAATTTGAAAAACAAAGAGTAAGTTTGAATATAAAACAAAAAAATTGAATGTTTGAATATTGTTCAGCATGAGAAAGACATATGAAACAGGTAATTTTAACTTATGAAAGCAATATTTTCCAGGATAACGCTAAAAACTACATGAAGATTCACAATGTACCTGGCGATCTTCAAAGAAGAGTTGTCAAGTGGTATGATTATTCCTGGTCAAGGTGAGGGAGAATAATGGTTTACTAATTTTATTTATATTGGATCATCACTTTTGGACTTTTTTCCGTAAGGTTAATTCCTTATTGCTCCACTGTTACTACAGAGAAAAGCTGAACTATAAACTATATTCTATTTATACTGGATAGTTTTTAATTTCTAATCTGTTCTTCCTAGAGGTCCAGCAGTAAGGGTCATCTCTTATTGATCCAGTGTTACTACAGGAGGAAACCTAAACTAATCTTATTTATACTGGATAGCTCTATCAGTTCTAAACTGTTCTTCCTAGAGGTCCAGTAAGGATCATCTCTTATTGATCCAGTGTTACTACAGGAGGAGACCTAACTTGGTTAACTTTATTTTTTATGCTTAATAGCTTTCCAGTCTTGAACTATTCTTGTGCGCCCATAGAAAACTATATTTCAATTTCTTTTTCTAGAGGGCGTATGAGTGGCGGTGGTGGAGATTTAAATTCGTTGCATCTTCTTCCTGATAAGATGAAGACTGAGATTGCCCTTCACGTGCATTTGGAAACGTTGAGGAAGGTAAACGTTATCCGATGCATCGCCACCATGTTCATGAAGTAGTGATGACGTTTGAATGTTCTTTTCTTCATTTCTCTACAGGTGACATTTCTACAGAACTGTGAACCAGAGTTTATGCATGAACTGCTGTTGAAAATGAAACTTCACATTTTTACTCCTGGTGATTTGATCATAAGACATGGGGAAATTGCGAGAGAGATGTACCTCATAGCACATGGAAGAATTGAAGTGATCAGGTGAGTTTATAAAGTTTAAAGTCCAGAGGTTGATTTTAAAACACATTCGAAGATCTCCTTATAAACACCTCGCCAAGTCAGACATCCCTCTAATATAGGGGCATCTCTCTGAGCAGACGTTTCGCTAAGAAGCCGCCCTCAACAAGAGACCTCTCAAATATGGACATCTCTCTAATGGGAGTACCTCTCTAATACACGTATCTCTCTAATACAGGTACCTTTCTAATAGGGGTACCTCTCTAATACGAGTACGTGTTCGTGTTAGAGAGGTCCGACCGTAATTCTTAAATCTGATGTTTTAGTGAAACAGGAAAGGTTTTAAAGGAACTTGGTTCAGGAGACTTTTTTGGTGAAATTGGCATATTATCTCTTAGCGAGGGACAGAATAGGTACTTTATTATTTTCTCATGCTGCAGTTTGTTCTGTACGTAGCCTAGCTCTACTAGTTGTCGCTTTCAGCCATGAATGCTTGCCTATCTTAAACTCAAATTTTTATCTATTCAGGAGAACGGCAGATGTGAGGTCAATCGGTTATACAGAATGTTTTGTTCTTTCCAAAGATGACGTACTTGGTGAAATTCATCAATTTCCGCGGGCTCAGGTATCATTCTCATCCATACTTCTAGTTAGACTCTCTGATTTCATTCCTGCAATAAGCAATTGTCTGATTATAATCTTGCATGGACGGTCTGTGCACGTAAAAACCCAACCGTTGTTTGTTGAGCTCAACAGAATTGTTACAAGTTGCTTCAACAACTTGTTACCGTCCTGTAATACAACAACTTGTTAACAAAACAATAACAGCATTGCTAAACAACAGCATTGCTACAACTTATTGACAAACTTGATACAAGCTAGAGTATCCAATCAGGGTAATCAGGCTTCCTCCTGTAGTGACAGGATCAACAGGGAATTATTCTGACTGGACCTTTACGAAGAATAAACATGACATGTTTCATTACTTTTACGATGCATTCCTTGATCATATTTTCAGAAAATCCTGGCAGAGTATGGTAAAAAACGTCTTAAAAACACGAGTGGTGATCCCCGACTAGTCAAACTGGACGGTCAAGACTCGCCGGTCGCGAGAAACCGCTGGAAAGCCACGCGGTCTCACGTGGTTAACATGCTAAATGAGAAACAAAGCCCTGGCAATGAAAGTGATCAAAGTTTGAAATCTATTACCAGAGACGTAGTCATTCCTTCCTTGAATTCGCCTTGTGACGTTACAGACGGCAGCTCTGACAAGAAAACAATGTCAAACAGCTCTAATAGTGGACAAAATAATGGTCCAGGTGATCAATCAAGTCGATCACGTGATGAGTCTAGTCAATCACGTGACTACTCAAGTCAATCACGTGATCAATCTACTAATTCACGTGATCACTTGAGTGAATTACATTGTCAAAACCCAAATGCACGTGAAGCTCATGCTGGAAACACGCATGAAGCACGTGATACAAACACACATGATATGAACGATAAAGCTGATGTAAACATGGCTAAAACAGAGAACAATAACTCACGAGAGAATAATTGCCAAATTCGTGGAAGTTCCCGCGTGTCACGCACACGTGATTCAGTCACACGCCAGCCACGTGATATTGGTACATGTTTGAACACGTTGGATTATTTGAAAGCCGTCTTGCAAAGCACTATGGTAAGTCCTTGAGTATCAAATATTTTATCTCTTGCTCTGTGATGTAATCTGTCTGTGCCGGTGCAGGGAGCGTAACAACTTGTCCAGCGAAAGGCCCTGGGATCGAGGTTGTATCGCAAGTTGTCAGCAAGTTTGGAACAAGCTGTTAACAACTTGTAACAAACTTGTTGGTATTATCAGACTTGTTGCAAGGTTGTTCCAACAAGTCCGATACAGTCATGATGTAACAATATTGTTACAACCTTGTAACATTCTTGTTATATCATGATTGTATCAGACTTGTTAGGACAACCTTGTAACAAGTCTGATAATTTTTTCTGTGTTGGTGTAGTGTACTCAGGTGAATATGATATTTGTGGTGTTACTCTGAGTGTATATCCACACCGGGCGAGCTTGAAAAATATGCCCGGCCACCGTGGGATTCGAACCTACGACCTTTGGAATACTAGCCCAATGCTCTTCCAAATGAGCTACGCGGTCAAGACGGTTCGAGTAAGTGATATTTCGGAACAGAATCCAGTTCCTTCGATACCAATGTATTCTAGTAACCGTGGCCGGGCATATTTTTCAAGCTCGCCCGGTGTGGATATACATTCAGAGTAACACCACAAATATCAAGTCTGATAATGCCATCAAGCTTGTCACAAGTTGTTAACAGTTTGTTCCAAACTTGTTATAACAACTGGGAACAAGCAGTGCGAATACAACTTGTCGACAGCTTGTGAACATTTAAAGTTTGTTCGTTCACTGCAACCAGGTATACCAGAGTAGCGAGCGAAACAAACCAGAGTAGCGAGCGAAACAAGCTTATGAACAGATTTGTAACAACTTGTGCGTTTTTACGTGTGTATAATTTAACATTATGTTCTCACTCTGATAACTCGTGCATGTTGAGCAATGTCTGATACACAATAATGCACAGTGAAACGCCTTTTTATCAAGTTCAGTGAATTTTTTAGCACGAAACGGAAAAACAGAATGAATATGTGTCACAAATAGAGCGCGAACTGGCGAAAGAAATTGAACGAGCACATGAAGCTGAACAGAAAATAAAAAGCCAGGTACAATTTCATGCTTCGTATTAAGAAATCACAAATGGACATTGTATTTTGTAAATGTCGTAAATTTTAGCCAGGATTTTAACAATATCCTTTACTTTCACAGGAGGAAGAAATACGTAGACTTCTGGAAATCAACCAGACTCTTAATGAAAGAGTAAAACAAAAAGATAGCAGGATTTCTGAAATAGAAGATGTTCTACAAGTGAGTTCGACACTTGGTGTGATACTAGCTTGTTTATACCCGTTGTCAGCCTAGCAACCACTGTTTAATAAGGGATTGGAATTATATATGTCGCTGAGATTTAAGCAGAGTTGTGCGGTTAAATTTTTTGAACTATTTTTCACAGCTATCAGATTGCAACACAGAAAACATAGTCAGGAGGAGCGGAAGTCAAAAAGAAAGAAAAATGGGCAGTGTTTGTGTGGAACTGTCTGAAGACTTGACAAGAGAAACTATTTTAGACATCTCTGATACCCAATGTTGAAGTCACTTCAAACGTGGTGGTCCAGTGCAAAGGTAGTACTCCACAATGAGTTGCCGTGGTTTGTGTCTGATGTAAAAACGCACAAGTTGTAACAAACCTGCAGGAGACTTGTAATACAGCAATGCTGTTCCAACAACTTGTCAACAGGATGTGTTCGCACTGCTTGTTCCCAGCTTATTGACAAGTTGTCAACGGCTTGAACACATTGACAACTTGCTACAAGGTTGTTGAGCTCTACATACTTGTTACAAGTTGTTTCAACAACTTGTTATCGTCCTGCAATTCAATAATTTGTCAACAAGTTGTGAGTGACAGCCTTAATTGTAGCAACTTGATGAAATAACAACATTGTTACAACTTGTTGACAAGCTTGCTACAAGCCTGTTGCGAACACATCTTGTTGACAAGCTTGTTACAAGCCTGTTGCGAACACATCTTGTTGACAAGCTTGTTACAAGCCTGTTGCGAACACATCTTGTTGACAAGCTTGCTACAAGCCTGTTGCGAACACACCTTGTTGACAAGCTTGCTACAAGCCTGTTGCGAACACACCTTATTTTGACGTTTCCAGCGAAAAGGAAGATCCCTAATGAAGGACCTTCGCTCACAAGTTTTTAGTATAATCTTATTCAGTGTATTTAGACGCAGATCATGGCAGGTTCATTTTGTTTAAACATTTTCTAGCACTATATTAAAGTCTATACAGAGTTTATATTTATTTCAATCCGACTGTTTGATTGTTTCAAATCCAGGAACATGACAAAACATGCCTCCATCACAGTCTACAGCAACGCCAATTTTCCACCAAATACTTAGACTGTCCATATACCCAGGCCAGCTGGGCAGGCGTTTTCGATACACGCACCGAAATGTTTCGCCAAGTTCAAGTTGAAATATTCTTGATGTAGACTGTCCCCAAGGATTGTTTGAAAATGTTTCACCGTAGAGTTCCCCAACATGGATTATTATGTCGCCATCGTAATGATGCAGACAGTCCAAAGAAAACGTACTTTCTTCTGCAAAAGAAAAAGACATGCCATAAGTCTGGAACAAGTTGTTATCATCTTGTAACAAGGTTGATGAGGCCAACAAGTTGTTCCAACAAGTCTGATATCGTCTAGCATGTAACAAGTTGTTAACAAGTTGATAATTAACAGGCTAACAGCAAGCTTGTAGCGACTCGTTATGAACAACCTGTCTGTGCCGTCATCAACCTTGTAACAAGGTGATAACAACTTGTTCCAGATTTGTCGCAACAACTGGGAACAAGCAGTGCGAACACATCCTGATATTGGCTTTGACAACAACCTTTGACAACAACCTTGTTTGCAGATCTGAAACAACTTTAGTTTATGACGTAATTTAACGTTTATTCAACGAAAACACAATGCTATCAAATATTGCACAGCGTACCATCTTTGTCTGGCCAGGCCAAAAATAACGCTCTATCTCTGAAATTCTTTAACATATCTGGACGTCCTTTCTAAAATTAGAAAAATATTTTAAAAATAAATTTAGTTCTCAGAATTAGAGTTGCAGGCATGGCCATATTTATTACGTAAGTTGACTCACTTGAATTGTCATGTAATGCATGTTTTCAGGATAAGTTGTATTGCTGTCAAATGCAATCACATCTACGCCATAAAAATGTGTTAACAAATATTCCCAATATCCTGTACCCTGTAAAAACGAGAGGCGAAGATTGAACGCACAAAAATTATTGCAATTTCCGAAGCAAAGATCTTCATTGGGCAGTGTCCGTAAACACAGTACCGGGGACAGTTAAGAAATCAAACCACATCACTTTCTGTTTATTTGCCGCCAAATATCTAGGACTACTAGGTAATATTTCAAATCTGACCGTGAGGACTGGACTAGATTTCAAGTCCGATTTGAAATATTGCATCTCATACGACAGTACCTCAAAAATGGCGGATAACCTGAGTCTCGTAATTAAACACCACCTATCTAGCATAGATTGCAAAAATGGCGGATAAACTGAGCGTGAGACTGAAGGCTGTAATTATTGTCTCGTAATTTAACACCCCCACCTATCTAGCATAGATTCTGAGTTTCTGAGTTTAATCACTTACAGCCCCAGCAGATATTATTGGCTTCTCCAGATTTTTAATCTTTGCAAGGCTTTCTCCGCTTGGTATAGAAAATGAAAACACAATTTGTAGATACTGGCTTGACGTTTTGTCTTCCAAATTTCTTAAAAATAAAAGGAAAGAATGAAATCAATCCAAAAATTTGGCTAAAATGGTACTGTCTTCTGGGCAGTCATGATCAAGTGATCAAAATGTGCCATTGTCTTTTCATTGTTTTGAAAATCTCACTGTTCTCCATGCCATCCAGTCATGTTCCAGTGATCAAAATGTTCCATTGTCTTTTCATTGTTTTGTAAATCCCACTGTTCTCCATGCCATCCAGTCATGTTCCAGTGATCAAAATGTTCCATTGTCTTTTCATTGTTTTGTAAATCCCACTGTTCTCCATGCCATCCAGTCATGTTCCAGTGATCAAAATGTTCCATTGTCTTTTCATTGTTTTGAAAATCCCACTGTTCTCCATGTCATCCAGTCATGATCCAGTGATCAGAATGTTCCATTGTCTTTTCATTGTTTGAAAATCTCACTGTTCTTCATGCCATCCAGGCACGATCCAGTGATCAAAATGTTCCATTGTCTTTTCATTGTTTTGAAAATCTCACTGTTCTCCATGCCATCCAGTCATGATCCAGTGATCAGAATGTTCCATTGTCTTTTCATTGTTTTGAAAATCTCACTGTTCTTCATGCCATCCAGTCATGATCCAATGATCAGAATGTTCCATTGTCTTTTCATTGTTTTGAAAATCCCACTGTTCTCCATGCCATCTAGTCATGATCCAGTGATCAGAATGTTCCATTGTCTTTTCATTGTTTTGAAAATCTCACTGTTCTCCATGCCATCCAGTCATGATCCAGTGATCAGAATGTGCCATTGTCTTTTCATTGTTTTGAAAATCTCGCTGTTCTCCATGCCATCCAGTCATGATCCAGTGATCAAAATGTTCCATTGTCTTTTCATTGTTTTGAAAATCTCACTGTTCTCCATGCCATCCAGTCATGATCCAGTGATCAAAATGTTCCATTGTCTTTTCATTGTTTTGAAAATCTCACTGTTCTCCATGCCATCCAGTCATGATCCAGTGATCTGAATGTTCCATTGTCTTTTCATTGTTCTAAAAATCCCACTGTTCTCTATCTCAATGTTCTCTACACATTTGAAAACTGAAAAGTTTCGTCATTTACAGTTAATCCGTTCAGTTACATCTCCAGCTCAGTGCTCCGACCAACGCCCACATTTGTCGCGTTTGTCCCGAACTCCGTACCTGAGCCAGCGAACCAACACTTTTCTTTCGTTTTCGTTCAAAGAAATGTCACAAAATCGATGTACATTCTTAGGCGCCTGGTTCATTTTCCATTCAAATATTCGATGATAAACATCTTTGCTAGACTTTCTCTCTGCCAATAAACTAAATTTAAACGGGCAAAGATTAGAAGTCATTTATAAATGATAATAAAAGATTAGTTTACAGTTTCATTATATGTTGAAACGTAATACTTCATCTAGTCAAGACAATTTTAGTTTATTCTGTGACATTGGTCCAGGGGATTATCTACAGATCAGCGTCAAAAATATGCAGATGAGGGAATCTGTTTTAAGGAAATTTGACAATGAAACTAAGGAATTTTTATTAATCCTGAATTTCGTGCGAAATTTTATAAAAAATCCAAGGAAAATTTTGCCAAAACTAAAAAAAAATTTCTATAGCTTCTATTAGTTATTTCTATAGTGTAAAAAGTTTGAAATGATTTATTATTAAAGGTTTAAAATTTATAACAGATTTATTGATACGGAAATTTGGCAATTTTATATTCAATTTTATAACTATAAATTTCCCTTGTGGAAGCACGGCAAAGTTTGAAAACGAGGCTTCTTGTTCACGCGTTTGTGGTTTGGCAAATTTTGACAATTTCGATTTTCTTTGTAATTTTTACCGCATTTCTCTGCGATTTTCCACTTTTAACGAACACAAAAAGGACAGAAGACCTCACTCATTGTTCAAAGGTGTGGAATATTTGGCTGTTTTAACTTAAAATGTCGTACGATCATCATCATCGCATCTACTTGGGTCGGTTGCCATACGGCACGCGGGAACGAGATATTGAAAAGTTTTTGCAAGGAAGCGGCAGAGTACGCGATATTAACTTGAAGAACGGCTTTGGGTTTGTGGTAAGTTTATAGTTTATCATGTGGCTTGATAAAATAGCAGATTAATACTGTTTTTAGAGGTGAAAGCTCAAAATACTTGATTCAGAAATATTACGTCATTTGCATGTGTTGACCGATGTAAGCTATCTTGAGAAAATTGATATGAAATGTGTTTGTACTAAACTTTTGGTTTTGATTATAGACATTTGATGATCCTCGGGATGCACGAGATGCTGTGTCGGATTGTAACAATCGAGAATTGCTTGGTGAAAGGTATGTAGTCAACCTATTAATCTCGAACGGTAGTGGGTTTTTCAGTGGTGCAGTCGTCAGAGACCCTCTGAGATTGTGGGTGGTGCAACCCTCTGAGATTGTGGGTTTGAGTCTCGCTATGGACTCATGTGTGGACTTGTGTGAAATGAGTCAGTCAATAATCTGCTGAAAGTCGTGCCTATGCAGGCTATGGTCAAATAGATTTTTACCCCTATCATATATTTTTCTCGCAATTGAATTACCCCTGTCCACCATTCCATCACAGACCAGTCATTTTTAGTTAAAGAAAAATGAACTTTCTCTTCCAAGTTATTTTGGAATTGCAGATTCTTTGTGTTTGCTTTTTCCCATTGCAAAACAGGGCTACAATTGCATGATAAAATCTATTTGTTGACTAAAAGTATTTCTTGTAATTTGTAGAATTCTTGTCGAGGCTTGCCGTGGCTCTAGCTCAAGGGGATATAGCGGTGGTCCAAGACAAACTAAAGGAAGAGACAAGTATGTTCTGAGGCCCTAGGAAATCTAGTTTATTACCAAATGTTTAAATGTGCCCTACTTTATTATTTGACTCTGATGTCAGACAATTTTTACACATCAAGGGGGGAGTGATGCTACTCAATGGGTTAATCAGACTATTTAAGTGGCAGCGCTATCCAAATTGTCTGGCGTTAGACAAAGATAATAAAGTACTGTGCATCAGGACACATTGCTATTTGAAAGATTAACTTAAGGTTACAATATATGATGAGACTCTGATTTTGTCCAAAAAATTTTTTTATATAGTTATATTAAGTAATAATATATCTATCAATTCCAGCAACTTTTTTAAGAAAATGTTAAAAAGCGACCGAGATATAGGGGAACATGCTATGACCACTGAATAGCTTCGCGCGAAACTTGTAATTATGATTGACTCGAATTGTCAGTCTGACCTCTTGCGGTTAAATACAATTAGTAAGGAACCGGTCTAAGCCAACACGCAAACGCAGTAGAAAAGTCACCGAAGCCAACATCGCGCATAGCTTGAAGCCAACATCGCGCGTAGCTTGAACTTCGAGAGACTCTGTAAATACTACATTATAAGCTTTCTAATGTTGTCACAATGATCTATGCCTCCGAACAATAACTTATACTTTAGTGAATTTCACACCTTGATATTTGACGCCAGCAAAGTTCACACTTTGTGGTTTGGCCACAAGTGGATTAACATTGGGGGCGTAGAAATGACAGAAAGAGTGGAAACCTTGCCAAATCTTATGTGGTCATTTGAAGACAAAGCAAAATTACCCAATCTCCTCGACAAAAAAGAGTTTAACGACAGAACGTTTTACCCGATTCGTCCCAAACTTGACCACAATGTTAATCAATAATAAAGGAACTAAAAGGTGTTCGCGTTTTCGATTTAGTGCATTACTTTTCAATTTAGAAGCATCTCTTCAACCGCTTATACTCGCGCAAGATAAGTCAAGTTGTCTGCTTTATATCAAAGCGAATACAATAGCTGTCAAAAAATGCGAACACATAGATGAGAAATATGATATTTTGGGAGCTCCTGAGTTAAACGGTCTGTCGTTAAATCTCGTGGCGCAGGAGGTGCTATTTTTCAAAAGATGTCTCATTGCGACTACAGGTTAAAACGTGGTGAATTTTGGTTAAAACAGTATAGGCCGTGAGATGAGGGTCGAAAATATGCTTAGAAAACAGATTCCGTAGCACCCCTCGTGTAACTACATAATTTTTACATGAATCTATAGATTATAACTTACTTAGTTAGAATCCACTTCCCCCCAAGCGAAATAGTTGCACAAATTGAAGTATAAGCTCTTCAAAGTTCACGCTTCCTCGTGTTTCGGAATCCATGAACCGCCATTGTTGTGTTGCAAATACGCATGCGCTTGAACACAAAACACGTAATGCGCACGCGCAGATAAGAAAAACTGATCTCAACTAGGACTGGACAAGGAAAAAATTATGAAATGTGCGAAAGCAGGGCTGAAGTAAAACAAGATGACATCGGAATATTTTAAAAATATATGATATTTTTATGTTCTGTGCATTTTAATGGAGTTTAAAAACATTTTGAGCAATGTACCATATGCATGTCGAGCCCTCGCCAGGAACAATTCCAAGCCAACATTACAATAATAACTTATTTAAAATATGATGTTATTTTATACTACAGCAATTGCATAACGTTTGCAAGCGAGTCTGTTTTTCAGGCTTTAAATAATATCACAATCCTAAATATTCTAGAACATGCATACCGTAATTTCTCTATCCAATTTATTAGGGGAGAAGGGGGAGGGGGGGGGGGTTAATTCTAATATATACAACTGTTTTGCACGTTTGATTCTCTTTATATATGCAACATTGGGTACTGTGATTTGATATCAGTAAAATATCATAATTATCTTTCAAATACAATACTTTCATGTTTCACGATTTTATACATTAATTAATTGGTTGCAGGAGAAAGGGGTGGGGAGTAGGGGTGGGGGGTGCTAAACAGAGAAATTACGATATACCATAAGGGAGTGGTCATTATTTATGGGGAGGGGGAGTTGGGAAATGGGGAAAATAAGGATTGAAAACTTTTTGTCCCCCCCCCCTCCAGACTGAAGGCAAACTTTGTGCCTCCCCCCTCATAAAAGTAGAAACTTCTGACCCCCCCCCAGTGTAGATTGAAAAATTAACAGCAATGAAACAGGTGTGCATTGCAGGTAAAGTTAAATATTAGGACAATCTGTTCAATCTAGCTCATGATGTTTTACCCTGGGGGTTAGCGCTAACCCTGGGTTAAAAGTTTAACCTGTTGTTTTAGTTTGTGTATTTCTGCACGTCTGTTTATTTCAAAACTTCAGACAAGTAAACTCCTATCCATCCAGACAAGATCTCTGAAGAAATATTTCCAAATTTATAGACAAGCTGTCAGGAAGTTTGCTTTGAATTTTAGGTTAACCTACTGGTTAAGCTAACCCAGCTTTGAACAACCGGCCCCTGGTGAATATGATTCAACCATATATGATTAAAAAATATATATTATGTGTTACTACTTTGCAATGCAACATTTGTCCTACCATAACCCTAACCCATGACCCGTCTTCATACAGCGAAATGAGATTTTAAGAACTTGTCTAGGGGGTGGGCATCTACAAAAAGGGGCCATACTATATTGAGTGTGTAGAGACGACAGATGGTTGTTGGTGACAAAAAGTTTGGTGTGGTATCGTATGTACTAGTAGGGGGCTCTGGGTGTATTCTCCCCCAGAAAATGTTTTGTATTTTTCCACCCCTAGAACTGAAATGTGAGCATTTTCTGAAACAGATTTTTGGATATACAGCGTTACATTGTGCGTTGATAGACCGAATCTGATCAGTTAAGTGTACTTGCATGGTATGTTTATGTAAATACCACAACTGGGTCACTCAGGGGGTAGAAAGCTTGTTAAACTTAGTGGGCCCAACTCCCGCGATCGCGAGGCGCTACCATGGTTGGCGCTGAGCAGTAATTTTGAAAATTTTGAGTCTCTAGATCGTTGGAAATAGCATTTTCAGAGTCTTCTTTTTTGCTATTTGTGATTATAGAAATCAGAACTCTAGACATGGTATTTAAGTTCAAAAACCTTTATGACCCCCCCCCCCTTTCTCTGTGTTAAAACTTTTTTTAATACCCCCCCTATTTATAAGGGTAAACCCCTCCCCATAAATAATGACCACTCCCTAAATATGTGTCGGTGCTCACAATCTTATTTATTTTCTAAATCTTTCCCTGTCAATTTTATTAGTCCAGGTTCGTTGTTTATTATTTCATTTGCATTTAATCCATTATTAATAAGAATGAACGGAGGTTCAGGCTCTACGCTGACTGGAACTTCATTACGCACTCGGTTTTTGTACCAGCCAATTTCGTGTTCAAACACTCGTGTTACGTTGTTGATCATGCACGCCTTTATCACGAACGCCTTTTCGCCAATTCAGCCGTATATTTGTGCAACCATCGTGATCAGTTTATCAAAAAAAAAAAACAAAGGAGAAGGAAATAGCGTAGTAGGTTTTAGGAGGTATTGTTATGCAACAGCATTAATGGCGTGACGTTTGCAATCTAATTATAATAACTTGTGCATACGACGCGCGCATACCAAGAGAAGGGAGTTTTTGTCTTATCTATTTAGCATTAACAGGTTTAAATTTCCACAACACACTGTCCATTCTCACTCAAGTAAATTTAAATATGCTATCCAACAGCATTAAGACGCAAATCGGAACAAGACCAACAGATTACCTAACTCAGACTGAGTAGTTTTCTCTTTATCAAAACATCACTTCTCTCCAAAATGTCCAGAAACGTAGCCATGCAGGATTTTTGGTCAGGGGGCAGCAAAAACGTAGGTGGGCTATGTTTCACTTCTTTTTATAGAATAAATTTTCTCAGGGGGCACCAAAATTTTACCACGGGGGGGGGGTACCCCGAGCCCCAACATGGCTACGCTAAAGGCGTACATGAACAACGAAATACGAGTGTTTGAGGATTGGTTGGTACAAAAACAGAGTCGTAATGAGGTTCCAGTCAGCGTAACTCAGAATTGGTACGTTGGCCCTTGAGGCAAAGAGTTAACCTGCGTTCTTTGGCTCAATAATGGATTAGACGCAAAGCCAATAAACAACCATTACCTGGACTAATAAAATTAATTAACGGGAAAAGATTTAGAGAATAAATACGATTGTGAATACCGAGTAATACTTAGTTTATGGTATATAGTCATTTCTTTGTTTAGCACCACTTCTTCCCCGGCCCTCTCCTGTAAGCAATTAATGTATAAAATCGTGGAGTGAAATTGTATTTGAAACTTGAAAGATAATTATGATATTTTACAGAAAATCACAGTACTCGATGTTGCATATTTAAAGAGAATAAAACGTGCAAACAGATTCTTTGTGTATATTAGAAATACCTCTCCCCCCCCCCCCAAAAAAAAAAGAAGATAAATTACGGTATGAGTTCTAGAACGTTTACAGGACCGTACGCAGAATATTTTCATCAGCTGGGGGCAGTAAGGCCTATATGCGAAAAACGTCACAAATATCCAATGAATAATTAATAATGTTATTGCCTCCCCTGCTGTGTACGGCTCTGAATGTTTAGGATTGTGATAATATTTAAAGCCTGAAAAACAAATTTGCTTGCAAACGTTATGCAATTGCTGTAGTATAAAATAACATCATATTTTAATTAATATTTTAAATAAGTTATTATTGTAATGTTGGCTTGGAAGTGTTCCTGGCGAGGGCTCGATACGGTACATTGCTCAGAATGTTTGGTAAACTCCATTAAAATGCACAGAACATAAAAGTATCATATATTTTTAAAATATTCCGATGTCATCTTGTTTTAATAGTCTTGTTCTATAATGCAATGATCAAGCCGTTGTTCACGTACTGTAGTGTTGTTTGGTCTAATTGTAGACAAGACAACATATTGAAACTTTTCAAGCTTCAGAAGCGTGCCGCTAGAATAATTTTAAATTTTGAACCACGGCATCCGTCTATTGATGCATTCAATCAACTTAATTGGATTCCTTTTTATGTCGAAAAAGATATCAGGAGGTGCATGTTGGCGCATAAACGTATTAATGGTGAGGGACCAGAATATCTGAAAGATTTGCTGCTTTTGAATAGCGAAGTGCACTCTCGTTCCACACGTGGTGCAGGACTGTTATTTAGAACGCCGAAATATTATCGTCAAACTGCGGGTGGTAAAAGGTTTTCAACATGCACAAGTAAACTTTGGAACAGTTTACCGCTGAACATAAGATCCATTGCATCAGCCAAAACATTTAAACGGTCTATTGTTAATATATTTTTAGAATATCAGAAAGAACATAAACATTTTACTACTTTTACTACAATATTTTCAAACTACTAATTTTGTATTTTAGAAATCTTATTTATGTATATATTGTTTAGTTAATCTAGTATGTATTATTGTAATATTTTATTGTATCTGAGGGCCACAGGTTTGTTAGTGTGAATTCACTATTATGTGCTACCCTAGTAAAATAAAGTTTTTCATTCATTCATTCATTCATTCATTCATTTACTTCAGCCCTGTTTTCGCACATTTCATAATTTTTCTTGTCCAGTCCTAGATTGAGATCAGTTTTTCTTATCTGCGCGTGCGCATTACGTGTTTTGTGCTCAAGCGCATGCGTATTTGCAACACAACAATGGCGGTTCATGGATTCCGAAACACGAGGAAGCGTGAACTTTGAAGGGCTTATACTTCAATTTGTGCAACTATTTCGCTTGGGGGGAAGTGGATTCTAACTAAGTAAGTTATAATCTATAGATTCATGTAAAAATTATGTAGTTACACGAGGGGTGCTACGGAATTGAACATATTCGACCCTCATCCAACGGCCTAGTAGTCTCTACAGTTAGTTATGATTGCATGTACCAAATTTGAGGAACGTAACTAAAAAATTGAGCACGCAGTGACAATTTTTCTGAAACAGGAATCTATCATATGATGTAACCTTAACTTGTAAGTGGCAATGTGCCCTAATACTTCATTATTTTACTCTGTCTAATGGGAGAGTGCTGCCACTAAATAGGTTAATTTTACAATGTTTCAGATACGGAGCACCCATTCGCACACCATGGCGTGTTCTTGTTGAAAATTTGTCCACAAGAGTTAGTTGGCAGGTAGGTCACTATAAACATTAGCTTTATTTGCTAATTTTATTACAGTTTATTGTTTCAGCTTTTATAGAAACACTTTTAAGCAATATTAGAAGGCTTTGGTCTCTAGTGACCAGTAACCTAATATGTGTATTTTTGTCCATATATCTCCCAAAACATTCCAAGAGTATCTGTTTAGACAATTTCCTAAGAATTTTCCAAGAAATATTCTAAGAAATTATTTAAATCATTTCAGTAAGATGTGTAGATGTGAGTCACTGAGCCTGCAGACTGGTGGCCAGCAGGCATACAGTGAGAGATGACAGAGGCTTTGATGCTTGAGGTGTCGTTAGAGATGTCGTTAGACGATGCCAATTGAAAATGTCATTGTGATGTCATTACATGAAGCTAATTGAATGAATCGAATGTTTGAGAAGCTTGATGTCATCTAAGATGTCTGATGCTATGTGGCTGCGCTCGGATGACATCGGAGAGAGATGTTTCGACCTGTGTATCTTTCGAAGATGCACCTTTAATTTTTGCTGTGACCTAAATTCAATTGCTATGAAACCTGCTCTAGGTTTGTTGAAATGAACGAGGAAGCTTTGTCCAATTCCCAATTTAAAACAGTTTCAATTTGACATACATTTTCATTTTTGAACAGCCTATTTTGATGCTTTTGTTTAAATCTAATTAAGTGTAAAGTTTGTGAGAATATGCTGCATACAACATATTTCCAGTAAAATTATCGGCATTCAATACTGCTGAATTAAAATGGGCTATTATTAAGATGTAATTAAGAAAGAAACAACTTGGCCCTAATATTTCACCAGTCACCAAAAATGACTGTAAATCTGATGGATCAGAGCATGACAAAACAGCAATAAAAAATTTTTTCTCTGAAAATAAACACCGGTTCAATATGCAAAAAGCGAAACTGGTCACAGGAAGAAGATTGAGATGAAGATGTTGTATAAATGAATTTTGATCACTTCAGGATTTAAAAGATTACGTACGACAAGCTGGAGATGTCACTTATGGCGACGCCCACAGACCTAACAAGGGTGAAGGGTAGGTGCACACGATGAACAAAATATTGGGGGGGGGGGGTGTGAATTGATGGTTTCCTTACAGCAACAGTTACATGGGAAAATAATGCATCTTTAATCTTTCAGAGTTCTGGAATTTGCAACACATTCTGATGCTCGAAATGCTGTAAGAAAGTTAGATGGAACCACATTAAATGGCAAGAAAGTTCGTCTCATTGATGTAAGTCAAGTTTCCTTTCATACTTTTTGATCAGCTCTTGAAAGAAATGACAATCGCTGATTTTCTATCTTTGGTTTTAGGACACTCCGAAAACCAAACGTTCTCGATCTCGAAGCCGTTCAAGGTACAGGAATTTTGGATTGTTCATTTAATTTGGATTTAAATTATTAGTTCAAAAATTTAGGCCAAACTAGATTAATTTATAATATAATACTTTTGGGAAAGACCACGTAAATTTATTACTGCAATTAATTAATTAAGATTAATGATGAATTATTATTCATTTAATATATTATAATAAATGATTACTAAATTGATATAATTATTCAGATCTTCATCTCGTTCAAGACGACGTCGTAGTAACTCTCGATCCAGATCCCGCTCCAAGTCTCGCTCGAGGTCTCGCTCTAAGCCTCGTTCCAAGTCTCGATCCAGATCTCCACAGTCCAGATCTCGCTCAAGATCGCCACGACGTTCACGTTCCAGAAGTCGTTCCAGTTCCCACTCGCCACGTAACCCATCTCCAATGAAGAACAACCAGAATGGTGGTGGTGATGATGGTGGCGATTGATTTACATTTATTTACAATAAGTTGTACAAAGACTTCCTAGCCTTCACCAGCAACTACACAATGTCTTTCTGTACTAATGTGTTCACACGTTTGCTTGTGTTTGCTGTAGTTTTGCTTAAGTCTAGAGCGAGCATTTTTTTACAATAAGAATCATACTAAAGCCCCATACAGACCGGACGCTATTTGGCAACGCGATGCGAATTTTCAGTTTTCAATGACATTTAACTTTAATATTTTTCAATGTTTTTCAAATATTCGGAACCACTTAAGCAATTTTAGCTATTTGATCTGCATATCTTGTGAAATTTTTATCCGTTGACGGTTTTATTTGTTTTTGAAAACTGAAAATTCGCGTCGCGTTGCCGAATCGCGTCAGGTATGTGCGGGTCGCTTGTAGTTTTTGCGATTTTCATCTTCTGATGCTTGTGCATGAACGAGTAGATGAATTGTGAATATTCTGAGTATTTTTCTCACTGAACATTCATTCATAACTCATTCACTCGTTTACATCTATCAGACGAAGAAAATCGCACCAAGAGCAAAATTTATTTGTGCGACAATGGTTCTAAGGTTGATCAAACAGAGAAGCTTTCTATAACTCCTAATTTATCCAGCACATGAGTTTCACCACGAATATTAATCATTTGCTTGCGATATGTAGACATTTTTAATCATTACCCATGCGCGTTGAAAGGTTAACAACTGTTCATTTTTCGCAAAAATATGAATGTCAGATTGCCTTTTGTTAATAGAGTAACAAATTATCGAATGCACTGTAACGGCATTGTTGTTAATAAATGTTTTAATTAATGAACACATGTCAGATACTTTTTGTGTTGGTGTTATGTACTCTGGTGAATGGCGATGTTTGTGATGTTATTAAATACTCTGAGTGTACATCCACACCGGTCAAGCCGAAAAGTTTGCTTGACCACGGTGGGAATGGAACCCGCGACCTTTGGAATACTAGTCCAATGTCCAGATATTACCATAGGCGTACGACCAATTTTGGAAAACCATGGAAATTCGGGCAAACGCTAGGAAAAATCAAGAAAATTCGGGCAGATTTATCAGAAAATTGTTAAAATAAGGTTATTTCATTACAATTCTCCATAACAATTCGGGCAAACTTTCAACTGCCCCCCAGAAAACATCAGCCCCGTTCTTTGGATATTAATCTCATCACATGATATTGCGTCAAAATAAAACATTTTGTATGCAGTAACACAAATGCAGAAGCTAAACTAGCTTCATATTAATCGCGAGTCGCCACTGACAACTTTTGACAATGTTTTCAGAGTATTCTCATCTATTGAAGCAATGACTAGACCAAACTTACAAAAGAAACTTACAAGAATAACTGCAAATTAAGAGTAACTGCGCGCAAGAATAACTGCGCGCAGCAATAACTGCCCCGCAAGGATAACTGCGCGCAAGAATAACTGCCCGCAAGAATAACAGCGTACGATATCTTAATTCTTAAGATGGATGAATAAAGCTATTAGTAGTAGTATTGCTGAATAACTTGCAATTGCAAACTGAATAACTTGCAAAATATTGCAAGAATAACTGCGCGTAAGAATAACTATACCCCGCAAGAATGATTACATCAATAAATGTACATCACTTTGGTGAATAAAACTGTATATTCCAGATAATAAATGATCATATAAATGGGGATTGAAAATCAACCAAGTTTTTTGTACCAATATATATTTTTAGAACTTGGTATTATGGATAAATTGCAGTTGCGGACTCTTTTTCGCCCAAACCAATCATATTCCGAATTTACTTTGAGTAACACAGTGTGACAGTATTCTATTATTGTAAGGTGGGTTTCACTCGGTTTCACTGTACCAGATAGGTTTCCGTAGCCACGTGAAAAAACACCTATCCATACCTTTTAGGAACGCTATTTTCAGAGGGATTGTTGCAAAGGAGAGATGTTGTTTCGGTCAGCTTCTGAAAGTTGTACATTCTGTATCATCGGATAGGTGCTTTTTCGCGCCGCTACGGAAAGCTATCAGGTACAAGTAGTGGTACATAATTCTGTGGTCGCCGCATCACCATAGCCTGTGACCAACCTCGTTCTCAGGGCATTTTCTCTTTCCCAAACGAAGGGAAGTCCCTGGGAGAAATGCCCTGGGGGTGAGGGTGATTTTTTTTTTCTCGTCAATTTTCAGAAAGTTTGGAGTGGTTTGGGGCATGTTTTGAATTTTTGAAAAATTTCCTGTGGTCCCCCCCTTGTTTGCTTGTCCTCTGCATTTTGGCAATGCAGCATATATATTATAAATTCTGAATACTAATTTTGTATCAGCCAGTAAGATTTAAAATCCCTCAGCAGAGACTTGACCAATCAAGGAGATTCTTTTGTAAATACCCACCAATGAGAAGTCTGTATTTTAATTATTCAAATTTAGGTTGGGTTGCAGCTGTGCCAGTACTACCGTTAGTATTTCGCCGTTGCCTCGTGTGGTTCACTCGAAGACAAGTTCCCGCCTGTTCATGAATCGAAAAGGTTTGATTAAATATCAAGATACGAAGTTTAAATACTACGGAGCCCCTGACTACGGAGCCCCTGACGGCTCATGTTACAACAAATGTTATTGCCAGTTAAATTGTTACCTAGGTTGACAATTGACAGTTAAGTTGCCAGTTAAGTTGACAATTGCAAGTTAAGTTGACAGTTAAGTTGACAGTTATGTTGACAGTTAGGTTGCCAGTTAAGTTGACAATTAAGTTGCCAGTTAAGTTGGCTATTAATAAGGAACACTTAAACTGTAGTCTTAGAATCTAAAATGCATATGTTATACTGTTTAGTGCGACAGTTGTAAAAATGCCCTTATGTGCTCTCTGGCTGTTTGTTATCTACGGAGCCCCTGACTACGGAGCCCCTGACGGCTCATGTTACAACAATTTTTATTGCCAGTTAAATTGTTACCTAGGTTGACAATTGACAGTTAGGTTGCCAGTTAAGTTGACAATTGCAAGTTAAGTTGCCAGTTAAGTTGCCAGTTAAGTTGACAGTTAAGTTGACAGTTAAGTTGACAGTTAAGTTGACAGTTAAGTTGCCAGTTAAGTTGCCAGTTAAGTTGCCAGTTAAGTTAAGTTGCAGTTGCAGTTAAGTTGACAGTTAAGTTGACAGTTAAGTTGACAGTTAAGTTGCAGTTAAGTTGCAGTTAAGTTGCAGTTAAGTTGCAGTTAAGTTGCCAGTTAAGTTGCCAGAGTTGCCAGTTAAGTTGACAGTTAAGTTGACAGTTAAGTTGACAGTTAAGTTGACAGTTAAGTTGACAGTTAAGTTGACAGTTAAGTTGACA